ACTCCTTTATCAATCCTTCTCCCCACCATCTTAAATAAAGCAAAGAATGAAAATAATGGGCCATAGTACATTTTATAAGCTCATCATGATCGACACATAACAAATCAATGAAGGAGAGTGAAAGGGGACGAAGAGAGAATCAAAGATAAAGCACTACGCAAGTCACAGGCATAATTATATGTGTACATCCAAGCAATATCTCCATTGTTACCAAATTGCAAGAGGTAGAGTAATTTGACATATAGGTCATTTATCAAAATTTCTTTTGACATAAAGGTCGAGTCAACCCTACAGTAGCTAAGATTTCTTGGATTTGGGTAAATTAAGGTTTATTACCATTTTCTTGTGAGGTGAGTTATCAAGATTTAAAAACAAAGCTATACGACATTTCGACATGTAAGAGCTTGCAATGCAACACGATCAACATGATCAATTTGGACGTAGCTCTAAAAATTCTAGCAAGTATAAAGCAGGCATGAGATTCAAACTCAGTATCCTGCAATGATTGCACAACTCTAACCATTTAATTACATATGTGACATGCATTTGCCTTTGATTTATTTATTTATTTATTTTCGTTGAGTCAGTTACTTTTATTGCGTAATGAAGAAACTGATACAACGAGATATGGTCACACATGACCCTATGTGGTATAGCACTATAGCCTGCTCTACCAGCTATCTATCGCAACTTGAACCATAAAAAAAAAAAAAAAAAAAAAAAACAGATCAAAAGACAACTATACGTATCCCAATCCCATCAAATCCTCCTGCATAATGGCGTTTCCAGCAACAATATAACCTATCTCTGCCTTTATCAAACATGCAACTTTGGCCGTGTGTTTGCATACTGATCTGTGAACAACATTGCATCTCTCCTTTCATACAGATGTCAACAATACGCACCAAACCATGGCATGCCCTGCTCCTGAACTTCTGCTAGCTGCATCTCAATCCCTGTGATTCAATAGACTACATTTCAAGCAAGACGCAACCTGCTGTGTGAAAGAGCACTGCATAAACAAATGATCTCGAGTCTCAACTGCCTTGCTGCAAAAAGGATAGGATGCATCAGTGATTTTCCCCCACCTAAGCAGCTTATTCCTTGCAACAATTGCATTTTTTTATCAAAATCCAAGCAATCAAACTAAATCGTGGGGGGTAAAGCTTGCACCAAACAATTGATTTTCCCAATTCTGATTTACGTTCTATGACCAAAAGAACCTTCCAAATCCTCACCTAGCTGGCCATGGTTATGTCAAAAAATCTTAAGAGGATTTTCGTTAGTGTATTGACTTGTAAATTTTGTGTCGTTAACTGTCTTTGCAAGTGATAAAAATATATTTGTCACAATGTATTACATGAGGAATGCACTTTTAAGTTGAATGAATGACGAAGTAATGATATTGGTAGGTTATATTGAAAGGTGACATACTTGATAAATAGTTTGAATGATAAACATGTTTTATAAACTTTTCAAAATTTGAAAACATCGTGATTAAACTGTGGGAGTGGTCTTGTCCACTTGACAGTTTTTTATGTTCTCTTCTTTCTCCATCTTTTTCTTTCGGCTTTCCTTTCTCTGTATTTGTTTTTGCCTTTCTGTTTCTGTTGGTTCAGATCCCCTGAACCTTGTACTCTCTTCTTCTTTTATACTAATCCAATCGCCATTATCAAAAAAAAACTATAAACATTGATAGAGTTCATCTTACGATGTTTCTCTCCTTTTGGCCTATGGATTGTGTTCATGTTCTACTCTATGTAGAGAAATGTCAAGTTAAGTCTCTCTTGTGTATTTAGATTTTTATTGAACAAATTCCACCTTTCATTCATAAATAATCAGAGTTTTTAGTTATACGCGTGGTGTTTAACTAGTTACCATTTCCTGGTTGCATGGCAGTAACGACATCTGCAGTATAGGTAATCATGAAAATGAGAGGGATTCTTCGGCGAATATGGTTTTTGTTCCTTTGACAAGACTGTATGTGAGGGTTTCCATGCGGTAGGTGGTCTGGTATTATGAGAGATGTCAGGTATTGTGGTGGGTGCACACGGGATGATCTACAATGGTCTTCAAAATCCGATACTAGTTCTCGGCACTACGGGATACAATCAGGTGGTGACAACTCTGTGGATTGGACGTTGTGTGGATTGAAGCCCATGCGAAGGTCATTATTGATAAGGTGAACGTTAGTGAAATTCGGGATGTTGCTGGTGGTGTCTTACTTGAAGAAATTCGGCATCTCATGTCGTCTTCACTTGGGTTTCGGGTTAGGTTTATGGGTAGGCGAACAATAGGGTAGTTCATATGATGGCTAGAAAGGTCATGTCTTTGTTTCCTACGAGTTATAATAGCTTCGACTTTCGAGCGTGGCTTTGGTCGGAGCCAAAATTTGTGTAATTTTAGGTTCTTATTAATACAAGCGAGCTTTTTGTGCAAAAAAAAAACTAGGTACCATTTCCCATGCCTATCCACTAACAAGGATGGATTAATTCCCACGAATGTACGTGAAACGACGGTGAGATAAGGGCAGCCCTTTTGGTCTAACAATTCCTAATCACACATTACCCTTCTAATAATCTTAGGTACCCTACCCTAGACTCCATCCATTCCCAAGTCCTAACTTAGCCCTACGATTGTTATATAATTGATTGTTACCTGCTAACTAGCTAGCTAATCAATTTGCTGACTCCATTTGTTGCAATTTGCATCCCCTGTTTTGTCACTAAAGGCTGCAAAGTAAAGAGGGTTAAAGCACGCACAAGGCAAATTCCCAAGCCTCACGCATTTGCCCTCTTTCAGTTGTTTTCTTATGTCGTGTCAAATACTGCAAAGTGACTCATAAGTCAGTCATACCTAATCTTGTTTAGGCCACTCAAGTTGAAGTGTTATCAAATTTTCTAAACTCTCTTCAATGAGGTGAAGGTTGAGGCTGAGCTCGTACATGGTGGTTCTTTTCAAGTCATTAGTCAGGATACTTGAGGTCTTGAACTTGGCTGAAGAAGATTATCATTTTTCTTGGGCAAAATACACTTCTATATCCATAACTTTCACCTTTGTGACAAATATATCCATAACTATCGAAATACATGAAATACCCAATTTCGATCTTCCATTTAACGGCGTTAAGTAAATGGGTGACTGTACTGACGGGAAGGCTGAGTTGGCGTTGTCAGCGTCCCCACTAATCCACGTGGACCAAAAAAAAAAAACACCGAAAACCACTCTAGCCTACCATTTTCACTTTCTTCTCCAACCCTCTTGCTCGTTCATCTCCCTTTCTTCCCTTCCGCAATCTGGATCTAGGGTTTTCCCTTCCGCTTCTCTTCTCCCCGGCCCCTCGTCGTCGACACTTTCCTCCACCACCAGCAGCTTAAAGCCTTAACATCACAGCTTGAACAGAGACACATACAAACAACAGTTCACAGATCGCAAACCCTAGCTCCACCGCTTCCCTCCCACCCCCGCCGTCGCCGACGACCTTTTTTTTCGTCATCGAATCATATTACTAGCATCTTAATCCTTAAACACGATTTGAGCCTTAAAAGGAAAATTCCCCCCCCCCTTCCATCTTTTCCTTTTCTCTTGTTTTCTTTCTCTCTGCTGAGAAACTTGTCGATCGATTCGATGTGGACGAAGGCCAGGACGATGACGAGACTTGGGTTTCCGATTGACTGACTTTTGGGATTTGACCGCTTGAAAAAGGAAACAAGTCTCCACTGAAAACCTAGGCTTTAAAAGAAAGGAAATCGAAACCCCCTTGACCGATTTTGTCGGTGAAGAGATGATGGCGAAATCGGTGGTGGTGTATAGAGGGGAGGAGTTGATGGGGGAAGTAGAGATTTACGCGCAGCAAAAGGAAGGAGAAGTGGTGGTGGACGGAGAGAACAAGAGCTTCAACTTGAGGAACAAGAACAGGGTAATTCGACTGAGGGCACGGTGAGGGTTGCTGTCGAAGGGAACCCTTGGATCGGCGGCGGCGGGCAGCAACCTCTTCTCCAGCGCAGCCGATTAGAAAGAAGGTAGGAACCCTAATTCGAGTTTGAGAAAAAGGGGGTGGGAAGGGAGTCCTCGACTGTAAGGGGGCAAAATTGATGACATGGCGTCCACGTGGAAAAATTTGCTGACGTGGAGCTTAGGTGGGAGATGGGTATGGTCCTACTCACTGTTCCGTTACATTTACTGACGCCGTAACAAACGGCGTTAGAGTTTGTAACGGAAATGGATAGATTTGTCACACGATAGTACAATTTTCTGGGTATTTCATGTATTTCGATAGTTATGGATATATTTGTCACAAAGGTGAAAGTTATGGATATAGAAGTGTATTTTGCCTTTTTCTTGGGAGAATGTCGCGTATGTATACTGTATTTGAGCATATAGAACATATTCTCGATAGAAGGATTATAGATGGTTCATTGGACCTAGGGCATGCTAGGTAGCTCCTCAACTTGTCGCTCGTTGGCTTCATTTATAATCGAGTTTTCAGCTCTAGGATAATGTTTTTGCTTGCATATATTTGGATATGTCATAAAAGATTAATCGATGAGACTGTCAAATCGAGCACAATAGACCTCGAGGTCTTCAATTTTTTACCAGGTGAATTTATCAAGAGTGACAGAGAAATGTACGCTAAACTCGCAAAGGATGTTGACCAACATGAACCTTCCATATGTTTGTCTAGTGAGCCTCTATGGTTCTTAAGATTCCATGCTAAACCTTGGATGAAAAAAGCAACTTAATTGCACATCAAGAGTAAAACATGTTGCCAAACAATAAATTAAAGGGACTAAATCTATACGTTTATCTAAAGTTCGATAAGACCCCACACCAATCGCTACACAACTGTGTAATTCACTTGATCAAAAGAACAGAGTGGGGTTTTCCTTTCTATATTCAGAACAAAAAAGTTGTGTGATTCGCTTATGTCCTTTTCCCTTCTCTGTTTCGCCCTTTTTCTTCCAAGCTCCTCCAACTCTAAGTTGGGTTAGTGCTGAATGCTGATTGCCGGGGACTTCGAGTGGTTAAGATTGAAAGTGACTTCGAACAAACCAACCAACCAACGGACAAACGGAACCAAACTTCCTATGCACTATATATAATTTCAACAAAGCTTCTTTCCCAATTGATTATTCCATCTTCCCCACTTCCTCAATTCTTTCATCGCCATCTTCTTCTACAACCCTCCTCTAGCTTATCTGAATACCTGTGCTGAGCTCAATCAGCAAGTGCGGAAGTGCCGACCAAGCTACAAAAGTAAGCAAGCTTTTTTATGCTTCTCCCCTGTTTCCAGCTCCTCCTGGGCTCTTACAAAGTTGGCGTCTTTTCCCCTTTTGGGATTCTGAATTTCTTGTTGTTTGGTTTTTGGTATTCTTGGTTTGTGATTTGGTTTTGCGTTTTGGTGCAGCTGGAGTGGGGGAAAGGGAAAGCGAATCCAATTGTGAACAACTTGAGAGCCAGGCTGCGGCTGAAGCCTATGCCCTTGATGAACGTGTTTCATGATGGTGATGGCTTCCCCAGGATCGTTCTCGCCGACCCTTCTGGCTCATCAGCTGAGGTACCCTCTCATTTCTCTGTTCTTCTGTACTATAATTGGGCTACGAGGAAATGTGGATGTTGTGGTTGCGGCAATTTTACAAACACTTTGTCGACAACTATGGTTTCTTGCAGGTGCTTCTGTATGGGGGCCAGGTTGTCTCCTGGAAGAATGAAAGGAGAGAAGAACTACTCTTTATGAGCAGCAAGGTGAGTATGTGAACTTCTGAAACGAGGCAAGATAGTCTTCTGATTTTTCAGTTTACTCACTTGTTATGTATGACTTGGTTCTAGTTATAACTTCAATAGATATTATGTTGCCTTCATTTTTTGGGGCAGGCCATATGGAAGCCACCTAAGGCCATCCGAGGGGGAATACCTGTCTTCTTTCCTCAGGTTAGGGATGAATTTTGCAAAGTGTTCTAGTTCTTGTATTGCTCCATTTGCTTAGGGTAGGGGAATCCATATTTAATATTTTGCTTACCCATTAGAACTTGATTACAGTTTGGAAATCTTGGTACTTCGGAGAGAAATGGATTTGCTAGGAATAAATTCTGGACGATAGACAGTGATCCTTCACCTTTGCCTCCATCAAACAACCACTCATCAGTAGATCTTCTGTTGAAGTCCACAGATGAGGACCTGAAGATCTGGCCTCGGAGGTATGTTTGCTTCCATAATCTGATCATTAATCCAATAAGCAAAAGAGTAAACCTTTGTGCTATGTTCTGAACTGCCAACATCTCCTTTAACTCGATGAGCAGCTTTGAGTTACGGCTTCGTGTCTCCCTTAGTGCTGGAAAGCTCACTTTGATACCTCGCGTGAGAAACACAGATACCAAACCTTTCTCTTTCACATTTGCTCTCCGAAACTATTTATCTGTATCAGATATCAGGTATGCACAGTAAAATCTTATGATGAAAGTTGTGGTCCTTACAATATCATGAACTTGGACTGTCTAAATTACCTTCTGGGCTTTGTTTTATTGCAGTGAAGTGCGTGTTGAAGGCTTGGAGACACTTGACTACTTAGACAATCTTATGAGGCGAGAGAGGTTTACTGAACAGGCAGATGCAATCACTTTTGATGGCGAGGTGAGATCTCCATTGATTCTTCAAGCTTGCTACAAGTATCAACCAAATGCTTTTGAAATTATAATGGGAGACTGGTGGTGTTCTTTCCTGCAGGTTGACAGAATATATTTGAGCTCTCCACAGAAGATCGCCATAATAGACCACGAGAAGAAGAGAACTTTTGTGCTGCGCAAGGATGGGATGCCTGATGCAGGTAACTTTCAAACGTCTTTTCATTTTGGGGGGATTTGAGATCCTAATATTGAGGCATTGTTTTTCAACAATCAGGTATGTGGAATCCTTGGGACAAAAGGGCCAAAACAGTGCCTGATTTGGGATACGAGGACTACAAAACCATGTTGTGTGTGGATTCTGCTGTCACTGAAACCCCAATCGTCCTAAAACCTTTGGAAGAATGGAAGGGCTACCAGGAGCTCTCTACTGTTTCATCAAGTTATTGCAGTGGGCAATTAGATCCTCGAAAGGTTCTTTACGGTTTCTGATGAACTTGATCAGTTCACGTAGTGTGGATAAGTAAGATTATTGACTCAGCAACCTTTCTCCCAATAAGTTATACATACTACTAGTAGAAAAGCAATCAAATTCTTACCCAAAAAAACAAAAGCAATCAAATATAGGGATCTGGTGTTGCAGTGAGTCAATTCCACATTGTAGAGCAACAAGATATTTGTATGTTGCCTCTTTGTGATGATATGATATTATCAATATGTATGAGATGTAATTAGCTAGAGCGAGCCTCGACATCTGATTGGACGAATTGCAGTTGATTCTTATCACACTTGTCATTGCCATGGCTAAAGATCAAGTTACACTTGGTAACATAGAATGTAACATACAATGAAACAGGAAAGTTTGATTGATTGTCATGATGCCCTTGTGTTATTGAGCAGCTAGCTACACCAGCTTCTTATTATTGATTGTCTTGGTACGAGTTTGATGGAGGTTTCTAGGTGTTTTAGAACATAGAAAGCAATTGCATCCCAAACTTCTCCTTGGCTTCCTTGTCTAATGGATCATCTCCCAAATACATGTTAACATATGCCCTGCATAGAAGCTCGCTCTCAACTTTGCTGATGACCTCATCCACCACTGCACACATCAAACACAAAAAAGTTCAGCGCTTCCGATCTATATTTTTTCAGAGTCCATTGCATTTGTGTTATGCTATAAGTAAGACTCCACCTTTGGTTTGGAGTACATTCCCTGGTAGCCGGGAGATCTCAATCACAGAGCCACTCGACAGCTTGATTCCATCAGAAGCTGCACCCATCACCCTGCAATCAATCATCATCAACAGGTATCATGAATTTTCCAATTTTGCAGACTGAAACCAACATTGCTGAAGTGCTAATGGTCCTACTTGTTGGCGAGATCATCGTTCTTCTTCCCTCCAGTGAGCTTCTTGATAGATGCTCCGAGACCTTCATCAAAGTTCTTCTTGACCATGTTCATGGTCAGCGAAGAGAACACAATCACCAGCCTCACTGTCATGGCTGAGTCACTGTCGGTCACCGCCTGGTACATTTCCTTGGTTGGTTTAGTGGATTCCTTGCTATCAATCTTTGTCTTGAGATTCTCTTTCAGCTTCTCCTTGTCATAGTACATCCCTGCAAATTAGAAAAGATGACAACTTTTGGTCATCATAACAAGAACAGTTCCTGGGTTCTGATCATATGGAGACATGAATGATTATTACCAAAGCCGTAGATCTTGATCCCCATGCCAAGCATGGATTTCTTCCTCAAACCAACGGTCATCAGTTCCTTCCCATCAGTCAGCTTGACCGGGAACGAAACCCCAGTTTTCGGCTCTACTTCAACTGCAACTTCTTCTGCTGCTGCTGCTGCTGCAACTTCCTCTTGTTTCTTGGCCTGATCAAGAGTCTCGGCTGCCACCTTTGTTTCATCCTTGAGTTTCATCCCATTGAGCTTCTCCTCCAATGGAGGAGTTGTGTGCTGATTATCAGCATTGACATTGTTCTCAGCAATGGCTGCCATTTCTTGTGCTACCTAACTAGCTAGCCTTGTGGGGAAGATATTGAGAGAGGTAGAGTTGAGCTGTAGAAATATGTTGCTTTACTTGGTGATGGAATAGGAAATGGCTATTGGTTTATATAGGGATATATAATATGGGTAGTGAATGACCAAAAGGAAGCATTCAAAGCCTTGCCACCAACAGATTGTTCCTGCCTTGGTTGGTAGTCGGTGCAAGTTCTTTTCTTTGGTTTAAGTCCATTAGTTATTTTGGGGTCTTAAGACTCCTAGAGTAACGTGATCAACTCAAAATGTGATCTTTTTTCCAGATCTACTTTCTGGAGATGCTATAATCTCAAGCAGCATAGAGGCTAAATCGTGCCAAACCCACCATGTTCTCCTTTTAGAAGGATTAATAGATAGATTGCCCCATCAAGCTCTGTTTATAAAGTACCATTGCTGCCATTGGGCCACCCCTACTCCTTAATCTTAAATGCTTAAGTACTAACTGGATCTCGTTTGAAACAGAGGACAAAATAAGGCATAAACTAAACTACATAAAAAAACGCATTAGACATATTTTTCTATTTGTGAGCAGCGAGGAATTAGTGACCATTAATCATTGTTTGCTCAATAAATAGAGGGAGAAATTGATATTCCATTAAATGAATGTCACGCATATCAAGGAGTGTTTAAGCCTTATGGAACGCTAGCTTGAATTGAGTTGTCCAAAGTGGTGAAATCGATTAACTTCAAGTGAAGGACAGAGAAGGACTTTGAATTGCTCAATCTTCTGTAGGTTGGAGTTATTCCTTTTCCTGGATGGACACAAGACCAATTAATGCAACACACAATTTGGTTTTTACACGTATGTGAATGTACATGTATATTTGGTATTTGTAGGTATGCTTACATGCATACATTTTTTTTAAATTGCATTTGATCAATGCAACTTGCAATTTGGTCATAATAGGATAAATGACTTACGGTATAGTTGAGCAAAACTATGGAAAGTATGACTAGACGTCTTTGAATATCAACATTCATATCATATTGTTGTGTATTTACTTTCAAGACTCATATAAACAATTGAAGTGATCAACAATAAATATATGAGGCTATATGGCCTAGATATCGCGTCCATCTCACCGAAAATTGGATTCCTCTGTAATCCATAATGCATATTGGTTTGCGATTATAGTCGACATTTCATCACTTCTATATCTCTTTCAACATCCTTGTACTTATAAGACATTTAATTTAAAAATTAAGGTTTATGAGAGAAATTTTACAATGCTATATAGTATTGGTGCTATAGGTTTTTGCATTTATGGTACAACTTAAAATTGTACATTTACGTTATGGTACAACTTCAAATTGTACTTATACTTTTTGTACAAATTCTTTTACGGTACAACTTGAACTTGTACATTTATAGATAAGGGTGATATAGGTTTTTTTTTTTTTGTTATTAGGTACTACTGAAGGGATTCGAACCTGATACCTCCAGGTTCATGGCTAGTGGTATTACCACTAGACCAATCCCTTGTTCGTAACTTGAACTTGTACATTTATGTGATGGTACAACTTCAAGTTGTAAAGTTGTACCATAACATAATGGTACAAATTGCTTTATGGTACAACCTAAACTTATACATTTAATGTTATGGTACAACTTTGAGTTGTACATTAAACCACCAATGCTATATAGCATAGTAGAAGTGCTCGGTTTAAGAATGAAACTTAAAGTTTGAAGAATTATATATCAAGGATAACCTTAATCATAAGCAAAATCAAGAGACAATGGGGCTCGTTAATGAAATAACACAAATTTACATCTCCCACTACCAAATAGGAGCTATAAAAGTAGACGTTGTTCTCAAAATTTTGGTTTATTATTGTTAGAGTGTGATATAAGATCCAGCAAAACCTTCTTCCAACAACTCGAGTTATTGGGATCAACTGGTTATTGACTTGGTAGAGTGTGATATAAGATCCACCAGAACCTTCTCTCAACAACTCGAGTTATTGGGATCAACCGGTTCTTGACATGGTATTAGAGCTGGTTTGGCCAAGTGGTCGTGTGTTCGAATCTCCGCGACCCTCAATATTAACCTTTGATTAAAGCACAAGGTATGGTGAGCCTGTGCAAACTTCAAACTCATGAGTTGGCTTTCGTTTGAGAGGGCATGTTAGAGTGTGATATAAGAATGACTTAACTTGTCACAAAAAAGTGGTTTTCACAATTTCAGTGGTAAAAAAATATTTCAGTGAGATACCACTTTCGAGTCCAATGTATTGAGTATTGACCCATGGGCTTGGTTGGATGTTCATTTACCTCTTAGGCTCTTCGGTCGTGCTTTAGAAGAAGGCGGGAGAAGCCCATATCGGCTGAAAGGCCCATAGCAAGTCCAGTTCTCTGTCTCATCATCCTTCCCTTGGCTTCTCAGCTCTCGCCTTTACTTTACAGGGAAGAGTAAAGTCGCAGACTTGCAGTAGCGGAACAGAGAGGGTTTTAGAAATTTGTATGAGAGAGCTATGCCGGAAGCTAAGAGCAGAAAACGCAAGAGAGGGAAGAAGAGTGGCAGCAAGCCGCAAATTCAGCATCAGAAGGAGATTAAGTCGAACGATGTGACAAAGGCCAAACATGGTAGTCAAAGTAACGAACTTGCTGCGGCTTCGAAGCGGCCAAAGCCGTCGTCTTCTTCTTCTTTCCTTGATAAGGTACATGCCTCTCTTCCCTCCTTGTTCTTCTTCTCTCAGCAAATGGTTCGTAGAAATCAATTGATGTGTCGCTGATGAACTTTGTATTGAATAATTGCAGATGAAAGCCAGATTAGCTGGTGGGCATTTCAGAATGCTGAATGAAACACTCTACACTTGCACGTAAGTGTCCCCTTTTCCTTATTCTGGGTTTTACTCTCTCCCCTCTTCTCAATTCTCATTGATGGGTATTTGGCTTTATGTGAACTGAGCAGTGAATGGTGGCACAGTCTTGGTTTTAATCTGTTAAATCTACTTAGTTATTCTCCTAGTAGTGCTGTTTGTGCTTTTGCACCTGTTAGTTAGAGCAGGAGAGTTATTCAATCGATTTTTTGGTGTTTAATGTTGTTCTCCCTTGTCTCTTTTCAGTGGAGGGGAGGCATTTAACTATTTCAAAGAAGATCCATCGTTATTTAACATGGTAAGGCTTCCTTAACGTCTATCTTATTCTTCTCTTTCTCCTATACCTTGGAGATTCATTTCATTTATACTGGCCCTGAACTCGTATAAAGCTGACTATGCAAGTCATAGAGCTTTCACAATTGGCATTGCATGAAAGTAAAGGGACTTAGGTCCAATTTGATGCATGCTTGTTTTTGGATGTTCCAGTTCATTGAGTTGGCCTCATCTTACTCGCAGCTGAAAATCCTGTCAAGAATTCAAACCTCACGTTTGTTCCTTCAAAGTGGACAATTTTGAAATGATATTGTGATATTCAAAAAATTGTGGTTTAACATTATCTTACTTACTTGGCAGTATCATACAGGGTATCAAGAACAAATGTCACACTGGCCTGAGCAACCTGTAAATGTAATCATAAAGTGGCTAAAAGATCATAACCGTTCGTTTATTGTTGCCGATTTTGGCTGTGGTGAGGCCTTGCGAGCTCCATCATTTCTTACTCTTGCTAGTTTCTGATGGGATTGTGTCAGGTGGATGGTATAAATGTTTTGATTGTTTGTTCTCTTTCCTCTTGCATAATTGTTTCAGGAGATGCACGCCTAGCGAAGAATGTAAAGAATAAGGTGTTCTCTTTTGATCTCATTTCGAAGGATCCTTCAGTAATTGCTTGTGATATGTCAAAAGTATGATACTCACTGTCAATTATTTCTGTATCTTGATTCATACAATGCATAAGCTTTTCTTGATAAAGTCTCTGTATCTGAGTTCTGTTACTTCCTTGCAGACACCCCTTGATTCTTCAACTGTAGATGTAGCTGTGTTTTGCCTTTCACTGATGGGCACTGATTATCCAAGTTACCTCAACGAAGCACAACGGGTGCTTAAGCCAGGGTTCGTGTTCCTTGCTGCATTTTCAGCATTCTAGATTGTGTTCATTGTGTGTCCAACTCGTATTTTATTCTCGCAGTGGTTGGCTTCTGATAGCAGAGGTAAAAAGTAGGTTTGATCCTATTACTGGAGGGGCAGACCCAAATAAGTTTGTGAAAGCCATTTCCGAGTTGGGGTTTACATCTGTGCTGAAGGTTTGTCATCAACATTGAAGCTATCCACCTCTTTTAGTTAACCTTTCTAAATACCGAGCTGCTAACTCCTGATTTGGTTTACACAGGATTTCTCAAACAAAATGTTCATTTTGTTCCATTTCCAGAAGAAGGTTGGTTCCCAGTTTTCACCTTCTGACCAACATGACATTCAATATAACTTGTTAGATATTGATTGTTTGTGTGTTCAAATCTTTGTAGGAGAAACGGGAAAGCTCGAAGAGTAAAGCAATTGAGTGGCCGGAGTTGAAGCCTTGCTTATACAAGCGTCGGTGATATCGCAAAGTCCAAAGCCTACTTACTGTTTAGGTTCATAGGAGTTGTGGTTTGATTTGACACTATCCTTATACAGCTTCTGAATCTCTTATATGTAGCAAGTATCTCCCTTTATCAGCTTGCTTGATGAAATGCCTTGGTATTAGCATAAAACTGAGGCTTGACGAGTTTAAGGAATGAGAAAATGCCTACTGTTTTGTCTTTGTATTCAGAGTTCGGAGTTCGGACATAGGTGGATCCAAGCTCACTCACATTGTATCTCTTTTTGTAAGCGTGCTTAATGGAAGTGCCTCGGTTTTGGTCTTGTCCCAATGAATAAAGCTTGTGATCTTCCATTAATGAACCCAATTTCGGTTCCATGTTTTTGTTTCTTCGAGGAATTGGCTTCTGAGAACTCTCCATCCTTATCATATATAGCCGTATTGGTTAGATAATTCTGCTTAGTTATGTAGTACGAGTAGTATTGTATTATACTACGAGTACTAGTATGTAATTAGGTAAAGTTATAGTAGCATTTTCGTGGGGCATGGTCTTCTTCAACATCGGCACGAAGTTTGGGATTAGTAGCAGTTATCGGTTTCTTAGTTATATTTTTTTTCCTTCCTCTTTTTGTGTTAGTTTTTGTTTCGGTTTTCAAATTGTTGGTATGTAATTACCATCAATTTGGGGAGGGTATTAGAGTATGTGTAGTACGAGTAGTATTGTGTTATACTACGAGTACTAGCATGTAATTGGGTAGAGTTATATTCCTTATTAGAGTCGTAGAAGTTAGGTTATTTTCGTTGTGTTAGGGTTATTTTAGAAGTCAGTATTTGTACTCTATATAAACTCTATGTGGTATCAGTAATAATATACAACATTTTCCGTCGTATTCTGATTTCTCAACATCAATGACCTCAAAATGCAATGCATTATGCACCCATCGAGCTCCTTGGCTCTTTTTAACTATTATGACGGAGAAAGAAAAGTAGCAAAGAAGTAGACCTCGCAAATTACCATCCGATTTGTTGATCCGATCCGAAGTCGCTCAAAAAAATAGAAGTTTTTATCACCCAAAAATCCGAATGATCCGAACTCGATTAACCTGTCATTTTTTGGGTCGGATTGATGGGTCAGCCGATTGACCCGTTAAACCCATTCTATTTCATATGTCACTCAAAAAAATGATAAAATCACTCATAAATTGTTGAGATGTTTAAAAAAATTCACAAGATTTTGAAAGACATGTTTGGAGTTTAATTAAGGATAATCAAATATCATTTGTTTCTTGTAATAGTATTACTCTTGTGATTATCTTTTGACAATTTATGCAATTTGTATTTCATTTCATTAGCATGGGAAATTGAGAATATGTTAATGAACATGTTCTAGGTAAACTATTGCAATGCACATGTTTTTTACGATTTGATATTGTTTCTGAAAGCGCACATAATTCCGACTTGAAACCCGATGAATTGGGTCAATATTTGACCTGAAAGCAACCAACCCAATATTACCCGAGCCGTAACCGAATCCCAACCCCGAAATTAACCAACCCAACCTAATTCCACGTCTACAAACAAGGCAAAATATTTAAGGGTTAATACCCTGGTTTGGTCCGAAGTTTAGTGTAAGTGACAGTTCTGGCCTCATTTTTTAAATAAGACATTTATGGCCTACTTTTGAAATTATTAGACCGATTTGGCCCAGAATTCTCTTTGACCGTTAATATTGACAGTCAAACACTATTCTGTTAGTGACTCGGCAAAAAATAACTGATGTGGCATGCCACGTCATTAAATAATATTTTTAATTTTTTTATTTAATTAAAAATAAAAATAACAATTAAGAAATTAAATAAATCCCTTCTTCTCCCAAATTTCCAAACCAAACCCTAAATCTAAATCAAACACTACCGCATCCTTATCATCATCAACTACGCCGTCCCCAGAAGCACATTCCATGGCATCCTTACACCGACTCAGTCGAGCCTCTTCATCTACCCGCTGAAGCTCGTCATCGAGACCTGCGGGACCACGAAGCTCCTCGCCGCCGTCGAACCGATTCTGGATCTGACCGACTCGCTCGCCGTCCACGATGTGCTCTACACCCGCGACGGCTCATCTTCCCCAGCGTCCAGCCGGCGCCGCACCGCAGCTTCTCCGAGGAAGTCGCCGCGCTGAACGAATTCTTCAACTTCTCGGAGGACGGGTTCAGCTACGCCATCTACGAAGCGATGAGGTTTGTCGCGGGGAAGACGACCCTCGACGCGCTGGTGGTGCGCGTGCCGAACTGCTTCGAGCCCCGCGACTTCTCCGCTGCCGTGACGTGCAGGAGCGCGGGGGCGCAGCTCTGGGCGATGGATCTCGTCGACATATCTCCTCGGCCGCCGCCTCGACCTCCAGCCTCGATCTATGCTTCGATTATCCAGTTTCAGCTAGAGCCTAGTCGCCGCCGCCGCAACCGACGTTGCTATGCCTTTCTCTTCGCAGGCTGCTACTGAATGATACTAGTCGCCAGTCAATGGATGAGGGAGAATCGAGGGATCTGGAGGTTCATCGTTAGAGTTCTCTATTCCCCTACAGCGGACTCGGGATTGTAATTTTTGCCAATGATAGAACAAAATTAGGGGTTGTAATTTTTGCCGGTTGAGCTTTGATGAGTTTTATATTTTTATTTTTGAAGTTTTTAAGTAACAAAGAAAGACTAGAAAAAAAAAAGAATTGAAATAAAAATGAGGTGGAAGCCACATCACTGCCACTTCAGCGTTGATTGCTGAGTCATTAACGGAATAAATGTTGACCGTTAATATTAAAAGTCAACACAAGTTTCGGGCCAAATCTGTCCAATAATTTCAAAAGTAGGTCATAAACGTCTTATTTAAAAGATGGGGCCAAAACTGTCACTTACGCTAAACTTCGGGCCAAACGAGGGTATTAACCCAATATTTAATGCCGGAAACCCTAAAAGAATATTCTTTCGATTTAGATGGAAAAAGAAAAACAAAAAGAGAGGAACTAAAGAGAAGACGGGGCGCGGGGAAAGAACGTAAGAGACGAAGTTGACTCTGACTGAGCTGGGTACTAGGGTTCTATAAGAGGGACAAGGCCGCCGCCGTCGCTGACGGTCTTCCATCACCGTCACCAAGAGAAAGATGGCCGAGCAGGCGATTCTCAGCTACTTGGAGACCCACGAGGAAATAGCCGATTCTGGCAACTTCGCTGCAGAATGTGGGATCGACCACGCCGAGATTGTTAACGCCATCAAGAGTCTTCACGGTTTTCTCTACGTCGAGTCTCAGGTACTTCTCACTAGTCTGTACTTCCTTAAACGAAAATGGAGTATTGCGCCAATTGTTGGTCCGCTTGTGATAGAATTGGGGTTTAGAGGTTTCTCTTCTGGGGACATGTATGGAACATTGTCGGAGTAGTAGAATTACCTTTCTTACACCACAGTTTTAAGCAATCAGGTCCCCAATCGTAGACCAGGTAGTAATTCCGGCAGAGGGCTGTCTTTTGACTGGTGTGCGTCTTCCAAGAATGCATGTTCTGAGTCGCCATTGTTGATTTGGTTAAGATAAGAGCTTGTCTGACGTTGTTGAGACTGGAGACTAAAGATTGTTCTTTTCAACTCGCAGGACATTAAAAAGGAAACCTGGGTTCTTACTGATGAAGGAAAAAGATATGCTGCTGAAGGCTCACCTGAAGTTCAACTGTTCTTGGCTGTACCAGCGGAAGGCAGCATCGCTAAAGATGAGCTGCAGGTTGCTGTTAACTCATTGTTTTTATTTTATGGTCTCTAAGTATGCATATTCAATGCTACTGTGTTTATGAATCTTGAAGTCTAACCTTTTGTAAGCGATATAATTGTGCATTGCTCAACTCAAAAACGAAGAATTTCAACGTTTAAATAATAATTGAAATATGGTTTTGAAGTAATTGTTAAGACTTGCTGACTTGTTCTGGAACCATTTCTCATGCAGAAAAAGTTTGACCCTGCAATTTTCAAAATCGGCTGTTCTCAAGCTGGGAAGAACAAATGGGTGGAAATGGGGAGGCAGGTCTCGAGGAAGGTAACTGAAACTTCTTCACGCTTTTTTCTTTCTTTCGAAGAACCTTCCACTTGTTAGTAAGATGGGGGAACACCAGGAGTACTTTTCAGAACAGAATCACCTACTCAAAACTAAGAGGAGATTGTCTTGGAATTAAAGTTAAAGTCTTTCTGTAAGTATTTTGAACCTTGGACATTTCCCTTGATTAATATTTGTTTGCTTCTTTTGCTTCGCGGTAGGTAGTTCAAGTGGAGGACAAGGTGAAAGATTTACTTTTGAAGATACAGAAGGGACAGGTTTGCAGTTTTATTACCTGCAGTGCCGATAAATGTTTGAATTTCTTGGCCTCAATATTTGGCATTTCGATTCTATATTTCCTGGAAGCTCTTTTTTATTATGATAGGTTCGGTTGATATTAGCCATTAGAATTTTGTTCGTTTTTTTGTCCTAATTATAATATGGTACCCACAATACAATTCTATTGTTGTGAGTCATATTTATCCTTGCTCTGTTTAGCTTGATTTGTGATCAATTAGAATCCTTATTAAATGCATGTCAATGTTTTATGTAGAAATGAAATCAGTAAGACGCAGATGTACTTATATTAGGGGTTGGTTTTCTCATATTGCCTTCGGTGATCCTTGTTCTAGTCACGATCATTCTAAGGAATGAACTGTTTTTTATGGGACTTGGTTAGTACTCATCAGTTCTATTCCTGGCATCTTCGGTGGTTTTTGCTCATTTAATTTAGAGGACTTTCAAATTGGTTTGTTATTGTCTATCTATTCTCGTCTCTGGTGCTTAAACATTTACCTTTTTTGACTCTTACTATTCAGGTCATTGGTCAAGCTGATATTAACTCCCTCAAAGCAAGGAAGCTAATTGTTTTGCAGTATGGTTCTCATCTTGTTCTTTAGTTCAATATCCCTGGGGCTCCTTATGTTTTGCTGTACACATTTAAGTGCCTCGTGATTAGTTATAACTTAAAAATGAGTTTTCTGGTCTAGGACGTGGAAGGGATATTCTGTAAGAAAGGGACCTAGTTATGCTCCCCAAAGAGAGAAGTTTGCGACTGATTTGACCCGAGAAAACCTGCAGAGGTATGCATATACTTATTTTCACTGCACATAGTGTTCTTATAACTTCTTAGTCTGTTATGTCCATGTAGCATCAGCTAGTAATTTTTCATCCCTGTAGCATTAATAGCTTTTCTTCTGGTTAGTTGCTTATGCATTGAAGCTTAGTCATTCAGTGCAATATCATTCAGCTGTTTGTTGATAATGGTTTGTGTGACATACTTAATTAACAAACTACTCTAAATATGTAGTGGCGACTGGAAGAAGCTGAAATTCAAAGAGTATAACTTCAATGCTAAAGGTCCACCTTCTGAATGTGGTCATCTTCACCCACTCAATAAGGCAAGATGGTTCTAGCTTTGGTTGCATTTTTCGACTCCTATTTTTATTGTGGCTGTCTAAAAACCCATTTCATGCTTGCCTTTATTGATTGTTTTAGTTGGAACTTGGAAGCAGGCATATAATCACTCGAGATAAGACATATTTAGATGTAGAAACCAATTCATATTTCTGAAAACCATTTCTAAGTTACTGGTGGGGAACTAAGAATCCCATAACTAGTAAGTACCAGACGATTGCATATGCTGTATATCTTGATAAGGATATGTGTATGTTGTCAAATTTTTATTATTGCCTTCTTGCCTTCCTAAGCCGCAATCCATCGCTGTCTGCTTTCTTCTGTGTTATCGAAATTCACTTCTGAAGTTCCTTCCATTTTCAGATGAAAGACTGTATAAAGAGAATCTTCCGTATGATGGGGTGAGTATTGTCTTTATGGAGTTATTGCTTTTCTACCTAATCCTGGGCATCTCTCATGTTAACTGCTCTTCTCTTGGTTGCAGCTTTGAGGAAATGCCCACAAATAGATATGTTGAAAGCAGGTCTCTGCCTTTTCCATCCCTCTAAGTAACTCTTTAAATTACCACTTGCTTTATTAGTTTCTGTTTATGCTTTGACATTTGAGTTTAGCTTGATAAACTCTGCCGGGGTGGCTCGTAAGACTGGAGATTCTTGTAACCTTTTATTGAACTTTTCAGTAAAAAACAGTTCAAGGAAGCAATCTTAGAATCTTCATGTTATTTTCTACAACTGACATGTTTCCTTTTGAATTTACAGCTTCTGGAACTTTGATGCTCTGTTCCAGCCACAGCAACATCCTGCCCGGGATTCACATGATACATTTTTCTTGAAAAGTACGTTTGTTTAACTATCTACAGTTTGATTTTGGTTCACACCCTTGTGGTAGTGTGATCTGATGTATTCTTGTGCAGCTCCTTCAACAACAATGCAGCTCCCTGAAGATTATGTTGAGCGAGTGAAGCAAGTTCATGAGTCTGGTGGTTATGGATCACGAGGGTATATAGATCTCATCTGCATCCCTTTTCCTTGATGATCCAAGCAAATGTTTCCTCTCTCAACTTTCTTGTCTGCTGGCAGATATAACTATGAGTGGAAAAGAGAAGAAGCAAACAAGAATCTTTTGCGTACACATACGACAGCGATCTCTTCGAGGATGCTTTATAAGCTAGCACAGGTATATTGATCGTGATTTCTGTACGTTTTATCCTTTCCCTGTCCCCAGGTCCCTTTTCCTAGTATTTATATCCCTCTTCTACGATGTATTTTATGGGTTTTTTTTTATAGAAGTACCATTCTCTTAATTGCAGGACACAAAACAGAATGGTTTCACCCCTAAAAAGTACTTCTCCATTGACCGTGTTTTCAGAAATGAAGCAGTAGACCGTACACATCTTGCAGAGTTCCACCAGATAGAAGGTATGGTCCCCTCTATTTTTGTCAATTCATTTTTCTGTCATCCCCTGTTTTACGAAACGATTGGATCAATTCTGTTCTCGCATGAATCCTCTATTTTCTGACTTGTAGCCTTCTGTCTTGCCTAAAAAAAATAAATGCTATTTCTTGCATTTCTTTTTTGTCAATTCATGGCCCCAAAATAATAAGAAAAATCCTCTAATAACTAATGATTTCATGGCTATTCTCTCCCTCTTAAACAAGTTTTCTGCATGACTGGGTTTACTTCTGTTACAAAGTACTACACATTAAGCTTTACAATGATTGTAAAGTTTCTATCTTCAATCAGAACTTGCCGCTGAGGCATTTTACTTTCCTGGGCCAATGATTCTTGTTTTCAGGTCTCATCTGTGACAGAGGGCTCACACTGGGTCACTTGATAGGAGTCCTGGAAGACTTCTTCAAGCGTCTAGGTAATCATCAATGACTTGAGAAGCAATGAGGACTTGGGTTGGATATCAAATTGGTGCCTTACTGGCTTCTTACTATCTTTTTGTCCAGGAATGTCAAACCTGCGCTTCAAGCCTGCCTACAATCCATACACTGAGCCTAGCATGGAAATATTCAGGTAACTAATGATGCTGTTTTTTATGCTTGGTTGGTGGTACTTTCATGCAGAGCACATAAGAGGTCTAATTTAATTATACACATATGTTCAGTTATCATGAAGGATTTGGGAAATGGGTGGAGATTGGGAACTCTGGAATGTTCAGACCGGAGATGCTTCAGCCAATGGGTTTCCCTGAAGATGTCAGGGTCATTGCATGGGGGCTTTCTCTTGAAAGGTAAGCAAGTTGGCATCTCGTCTCGGTCTGGTAATTTGGTTCTACCACCATCTACACAGAACCTTCATTTTCTTCCAACTTAACTAATCAATTATTCTTCTATTTTGCTTCTTTGTTTCGACATAGACCTACGATGATACTGTATGGCATCGATAACATCCGAGATCTCTTCGGGCACAGAGTAATCTAACTCTCAACCCATACTAAGAAAGCATATCATTTTATTCACGGTCTTTAGTGGTGCAATAGTTGCTGACTAAGGCGTGTTTTGGATGTTGATTTGCAGGTGGATCTTGACCTCATCAAGAAGAGTCCTTTGTGCCTCATTGGCATTAAATAATAGACTTCAGCGTATTTTCCTTCAGTTTTCTGTTCATCATTATATACAAAGCTCATTCTTAGCTGCGATTTGATGCTCGACAAAGATTCTTGTAGCTTGTTCTTAGTTTCAAAAGTTTTCAGCGTGGTTTAGTAGGTCAACTTGGTCTCGTAGTTGTTCTTGGCTGTCGATACAGGGATGGTGTTAACTGGTGCTGTACACAACTTGGTCTCGTAGTTGTTCGCCTTCTTGGACGTTATGAGCCTCTTAGTAGGTCACTATTAGTATGTTGAGACTTGAGAGTGTTTATAACAGTAGTTCCTAATTCGTCATATCCTATACGGCCTCAACATCCGGATAGGCTCCTAACATCTCCTTGCATTCAATGCATCTCACGGTCGTTGGATTGAGCGTTCGGCGATAGTCATTTGGTGTACAAACAGTTATCGTAGTAATGCGAAATGCATGATCCCACAATTGCATATGACGTTAAGAAGTTCAAATGTCTAAGCACAGTAGCAGTATTCAATTACGAGGAGTAAGGTTGAAGAATGGTATTGTTGGCTTGTTTGTTAAAATGTGGATTGAAAGGAAAGGAAAGGTGCAAAAAGAGGAGGAAAGGGGTAGAGAGAGGGCTACTGATTTCTAGGCATTGGAAGATCATCACCTCCCATGGCATCCCAACCAACAAAACTAACTATAGCCACTCCCTAGTAGTGTAAAGGCAACGCCGCCGCAACTCTTCTTTCCCGGTGAAAAAGAAAGTTGCACCAACCTTAAAAAAGGTTTTAAAAATAGACAATGAGTATAAGAGAAAAAGGAAAAAAGAGTTGCAGGAAATGTTTTGTTTATTGCCACTTGTGGGTTCGTTGGTTCTCTGTAAAGTATATTATTAGGGTTAGCTCGTCTTTGGATGCCGAGAGGGTAAGTCATAGTAGTCTTTGGGAGCAAGTTGCAATTTGGAAAATGGGTATTGGCATGAGAGGCCATGTTACCTAAGACAGAGCCTCCGCACATTCTCCTGCATGTTGCATGGGCCACTTTCCCCAAACATATAACTGCCATCCTCATCTAGCAACTATAGAAGAAACACAAAGAGAGAGAGAGAGAGAGTTCATTTGGATGGTTTCTAATCTAGACACTCTACCTAACTCAACTTTAGTCTAATCATGACAAGAATACACCATTTTCATTTGGTAAGGTGCCGGTACGGAAAATACGAGAGGAAAGTTAGATGCAAATGAGGTTTTAGTTGTATAGGCCTTGTCCATATGTTCTAAGTTATCTCCATCATGCAAGATTATGCAGTTGATTAGTTTCATGAATTATGCTTATATGAAAATTTGTTGTATGATATTCATTATCTAATGATTTTATCTATTATTTTCGAGTTCGAGTTTTGTATACAAAGATAACCTTATTGATCATCCACGAGTACGAACAGGTTGACATATGTAACCGATCGAGAACATAAATTCAAGTCATACCAGGATCGGGAGGATATATGGTTTATTGATATATATTCCACTTTCGTCCCTAATTACATGATTGCAACTATGATCAAAGGAAAATGAAAGGAAAATAATGGAGTAACTAGTCCGGAATTCCAACCCTTTGTTGTTGCTTTGTTGCCTAATTAGGGACCATAAGCATTCTGGTATTTAATCAATGTCAAATTGTCAATACCACTTTAATTAATGAATGTAGGTACACTGATAATTTTTCCACCATAGCAAATTCATGAATATGATCAGATAGTTAAACCCAATTCATAGTCAAATTGGTGAATCCAATGTAATCAAACTATACTAAATCAATACTCTAGGCAACTGGATGGGAAATCAATACTCTAAGCAACAATATGATAAATTTATGTTCTAACTACATATTCTATTAGATACACTAAGATAGCCCCAAATTTGTTTAGTCCAAGAGAAATGACATCATTCATACCCAACTCCCAAGCCCTCAACTTGAGGACCTCAAAGACTCAATTAAGAAGTAGGATTGTGTAGTTAATTAGTTTGAGTTTTTTTTTTCTTTTTTTTTGGGAAAGGATCTTTGTACTTGTTTAGGCTTATCTTTTTCCTAGGGTTCTTAGCTTCTTAGCCCCACCTTATACCCTCTTCTCTGCCTCACACCCTTCCCCATTACAGGACCCGCATGCCACAGTTGAAAATAATTCGAAAAATGACCCCAAATTGATATATATTGCATGCACATGGGATTTGTCAAAAACATAACAATACATGCACATGGGATGTATGAATTTGAAATGTTACCAAATCTCATCATCATCATGTCAAAACAACATATTAAACATTGATAATGAGATGGATGATTGAATCAACCTCAGCCCATTCAAGAAATGAAAGCAAATCTTATATCAATTAGGTTTGGATGTTAGAAGGTTTCTGACATAAACACTTGTTTATTTCTATCCGATCAGAAATTATATGGTTGTTATACATTTATGATGCGAACACACCATAATTATTTAGGTTTCCCCTCACATTCAAGTGTAAAAAAGTATCCATCCTGATATGACGATCTGATATGACGATCTGATCGAGAATCTAATAGTGATTGTATGTTTAAAATGAAAACACACTTCAATCAATTGTTTTGTTCACGTCTAGTATACACCAATTGCCTGATTGCAAATCACATAACTAAAATGCATAAACACGATGCTGGCAACTATTCCATAAACATACTTACCTAAACAAGTGATGGGTTGAGACAAGAGAGAGAAGAGGGAATGCTTTTATCTTTTTGTTTAATCTTTTGTATTTTGTTGGGTTGGCTTCTATATAAGGAAAGCTGAAGATGCATTGTTCAGGAATCAGTGGATGCATTCTCCCAAATCAGATAGTACAAAAGAGAGGAAAGAAAACACAAACCCACCAAACAGAAAGGAATTGATGAGAGCATAGAGAGGAGAGGGGAAGGAGAAGCACAAAAAAAGCTGACTTTAAAGCATTAGAATAGGAAGTTTGCTTCTGAATGAAACAATGGATGCCCACAAAAGGTTAACATCACATCTTCAAGCAACCAAACCAAATGCCTTCCCATGTACCCTGTTCCCATTCATATAAGGAAAGCATTCCTGCCAAATACAGCAAAAGGGAAGGAAGAGGGCTGAAATAGGATTCAAAGAAAGAGAGCCTCTCAATCTCTGTCACTCTATCTTTCTCTTGTTCCTGTTTCTGGTAGAGCAGAGGAAACCCCAGAAAAATGGAGGCATTCATGTTGCAGAACCTCTTCAATGGAGGCAGAGAAGCCCAAATCCAAGCTGCCTCCGAGATGGTCAAACTCAGCAGCAAACTGAGGCAGAAGTTAGTGGAAGGTGGAGTCATTCTCCCTTTGATCACCATGCTTCAGTCTCAGGACTATGAATCCATCCAAGCTTCACTCTTTGCATTGCTCACCCTTGCCTTTGGCAGTGAAAGGTAATACCCCTCACCCACACCACACCACACCATACCATTTCTGCCCATTTCCATTTCCATTAACCAAAAACAATCACGTAACTCAACTGATTACCAATTGGGTTGCAGGAACAAACGAAGGATGGTGAAATCAGGCGTGGTAGATGTGCTACTCCACCTCCTCCAATGGCAGGAAGAGTCATTGACAGAGCTAACAATAGCAGCTCTGCTCATCCTCTCCTCTTGCGGGCCAAACAAGCCACTCATCGCATCATCAGGAGCCATCCAAATCCTAGTCGATTCAATCCCCATTCTAACCACCACCCAATCAAAGCTCGACACTTTGACTACACTCCACAATCTCTCCACCTGGAACCAAGCAATCCCACACCTCGTCTCATCAGGGCTAGTCCCCACATTGCTCCAACTCCTAACCCAACATTCTTCCTACCCAATTCAACCAGAGCTGGCGGACAAGGCAATGGCCCTGCTGGAAGCCGTCGCGATCTCGTCGGAGAGAGCACTGGCCCAGGCCGCGGGAGGGATACGGGTGCTGGTGGAGATGGTGGAGGAAGGCAGCCCACAGGGGAAAGAACATGCCGTTGGGGTGCTGGTGCTGATTTGCCAGAGCTCGAGGGAGAAGTACAGAGGGTTGATCCTGATGGAAGGCGCCATGCCCGGTTTGCTGCAGCTGAGCATTGATGGGAGCTGGAGGGCGAGGGGTTTGGCTCAGGAGCTGCTGATGATGCTTCGAGGGGATTGCGATGGTGGGTCGAGAGGGAAGCAGTGGAAGCAGGAGATGGTGGAGAGGGTGATGCAGGAGATCGATGCTGCGGAAGGGGAGGAGGAGGAAGTATTCATGGGGAGTGGTGGAAGTAGTACGCTGAGATTGGTGGAAGAGATGATTGCGAAGCTGAGTACCTGATTTTGCTTTAGATTTTGGGATTAGGGTTCTTACTTCTTAGGGAATTGGGGTTCCAGCTTTTGTACATAAAAAAAAAAAACAGAGATTGATTCGATTGGGTCTTTTAGGAGCGGAGAAGAGATGATTGCTAAATGCTAACCAGAGAGCTAGATAATGTACTCTTCCCAGGCCCGAGAAAATATCAATGGATACCTTCATTTCACTAGACTTTATCATAATGCACATTTTTTGTAGTTTGTTAGGGGGTTTGAATGTTTAGTCTCACCCACCTTTCGATTTTTTACTGTATCAACTTAAAAACCAACTTTATTATTAAAAAACGTATATCAAACACCAAACAATCATTTTTCATAATACTCCTTTTATCACAGTTCATTCATAATCTTTTGTTAACCTCGCACCGACTTATCGTAATGACTAAACCGCAATACTAAACTAATATTCGTCCACTAAAATGAGGTTTTTAAGCAAGTTAGTTATAAACGATAGAAATGGACCAACATATCTAAAGCAATACATAGTAGCACTACAACAGCAACATGAATTTGATATTAAAAAAAACACCATGAAATAAGGAACAAGTAAAAAAATCAACAAATGACTGTAGGAAGAGAAAGCCATTATACCTTTAACCTTTTTAACCTGTTGATTTATTTATTATTAATTTTTTGTCATTAACTTGTTTGAAATTACTAGTGATAATATCTATTAAGGCTGGCCAGAGCAGATAAGCCGGCCCCCGGCCCGATTAAGCCCAATAGATCCAGTTAAGTTAAGAGGTGTCAAAAATGGGCCTAATTTTGCAGCCCAACTATCATTCCCGACCAATTATCTTCTTTTCTTTAAATCGGCCACAGAAAAGAAAACCCTAGCTAGTTTTCCCACATCGCCGGTCCAGAAAATATGTCTTCCCCTTCCGACCCTGGCTCCGACTCCGACTATGATTCCGACTCCGGCTCCAGCTCCGGATCCGGCTCAGAGGTTGATATGCGCCCTCCTTCACCTCGTCCTTGCGAGAACAAGAACTACTACGACCTCACCTGCGAACGCTGCCGTGAACTGGAGCGTATCGAGCCGGTCATCGAGGACGGCGACGAGGAGAGGTATTTATTTGAATGTGAACGCGTCGGCGACGGAGAGTTCGGCGACGACGAAGGCATAAAGCAACGGGTCATCATGTATCGGAAGTCGTTGGCGAAATCCGGCGTAAGTTAGCTTAATTATGATCAAAGCAAGCCTGCCTTATGAAACTGAACCCTAATTACAGACAGTTAATTAGTTAGTTAGTTAATCTTTTGCTCTCTTGCATTGCAGGGGTTTGATGCTGACTGCCCTCCATATTATCTAACCCGCAACGTATTTCTCTTCGCCCGACAGCATTTTGATGATTGGGATATTTTCGATATCAAAGTTCACGAGGCTGTTGAACATGTGATCGATACATATAACCGGGAGAAGGTGCGAATGCTGCGAATGATTAGAGATTCTCTGTTCTTTTCACGGAGATGAAAAACTTTTACATGCTCTTCCTTTCGAAATGGTGTTTTTTACAGGGCAAGAGTTTGAAGTACGGGAAAACCTTGAACGTAACTGCATCTCAGTATATGTTGTTTACCCTCTATATAACTTTTGAGTGCTTCAATCCGCCGGAAGATCCTTCTTTTGAGAAGTACCAAGCTGTGGTTTCCTGTGATATGATTGACAATAGTGTTGATGATAAGAAGAAGATTCTCATCTTCAGGAAGGAATCAACCGGGATGGGTGCGTTGTAGACTTGCTACTTACTTTTACTATGATGGACTATTATTTCATTTGCTTGAACTTGTTATTGGACTGTCTTAGATGAGGTGTGCAGTGGTGCTAATTGTTCATTGATCGTTCTATGTCTATAAAACTCTGTTTGACTCCTTGTGTTGAATGCTTGTACAGTAATCTAGTTATTTGCCATTGAGTTGGAACCATAGTGTCATCCAGCCATCTTGTAGCTTACTTTAGTATCCTGATTCATGCAAAGAGTAGTTACCATATATTGGCCTTGCCATCACGCTGTTATATCAATTTGACATATATCCTAAACGTGAATAGAGTCCTAACTTAGAATCATTTCAGTAAAAAAAAAGTTCCACAATACAAGTCAAAAAATGATGATGATGTGATGATTGTTGTTGTTTATCGTCAGTTGATGTATCAGCTTATTTGTTCATAGAAAACTAATGTTTTCCAATAAAAGGTTAACACCCCCCACCCCTTTCGTGTGCAGATTTGCTAGATCCTGACATGCCAACTGCTCGTTACATAGAAATTTTGAAAGCGAGAGCTAGAGGTGGGAAAAGAAAGTCTGAACGTGATGACGGAGTGGAGGGTTGAGTGATGATGAGAATGTGGTCACACACGCTGCTTGTTGTGTTGTTTATTTGAAGAATTCCATCTGTTCAGATCTGATGTTGAACTCTGAACTAGAGACATCGCCTATATATGTATGTCATGGCATTGATCATAATTTTGCCCAAAAAGTGGAGGTCTGCTAGCTAAGTCCTATCTTTAATCTTTGCTCTGTAGTAGTTTTGTTTAAACGGTTGTCGAGACATGGCAGCTGTGTATGTGTTTAATCTGGACAATTGTTTGTGAGTGATGATGTTGTGTGGTAAAAATGGTTCTATATCCGTACTCTCTCTTCTGCTGAAGAATTTGTGTGTTATGGGTCTGTCTGGGCTAGGCTAGGCTAGGCGTGTGCAGTGCAGCCAAGCCAATAGGAATGGCAATGGGGCATGTCCGGGGCGGGTTTCTTGGTACCCAGACCCGCTCCGTGGCAGGTCGGGTCCAGGTCGGGGCAGGTCGACCCAATGGGTAAGCAATTTATATGAAAAATATTAGAAATGTTTGTTATTTTTATTATAAGACCATGGAAACAAACAATATTATGATAAATATAGTTAAATTATTGGAGAAATTGAGGTTTTCACTAATTTACAACTTTATTATAGCTAAAATTTGATTTAGTAAAAGGAAAATCTTAAGTAATTTGACTAAAATTACGTGTAATTTAGGCAAGAACGGGTCGAGAATGGGGCGGGTCAGGGCAGGTCGGGTCTATGAGAGTACCCATGCCCGCCCCGTCCCGCCTACGGGGCGGGTCGGACCCGCCCCTAAACAGGTCAAACAGGTCGGGTAAAACGGGTCAGGTCAAAATTGCCATCCCTACAAGCCAAGCCATTCGTGTTGCATAAGCTGACATTGCCTATCAGGTATCGACTATCAACTTGGTCAACCAATCGTTAAGCTTGGTTTCTTCACAACAAAGAGTGAGGGTGCCAGACTGCTCGTATTCTAAGAATCTTCCCAAACCACTTCTGACAAGTAGGAGTGGGCAACGGGACGGGTATCCCGTCCCGTTTGTAGACCAAAGTCCATCCCATATCCCAAACCCATATAGAAAACAGGTACCCATTTTCCGTACGGGACGGATAACGGGTATCCATACTACCCATAAATACCCAAAGTTTAAACCACTAAAAATTTAACAAAAGTTTAAACTTGTATTTGCTTAACAATCACAAGACACAAAATACATCACAATCACAAATACTCGGTTTGCAAATAACACATTCATGAACAATCACAACACATAGAAATAAATCATTCCAAGCACCAAATTATCAAATAAGAAGTTTCATTCAACACAACCAAATGGGAGGCATGCTGCAACTTTTCTTGTGTTGTTCAATGCAGAAAGTGTCCAAATTTTTAGGTTCATGGGAAGCTAAAATCTATAGCAGAGAAGCTGAGTCTCACTGAAAGGGTAAGGGCCCTAGGCCCAAATGGCAAATGGCAAATGGAATTGAAATTGCAAGGGTGAGGGCCGAAATGGCCAGGGTTCTAAATTGGGCTGGATTGCCCTTGTATTGAATGGGTATAACGGGTACCCATATTACCCAAACGGGTATTCGCGGGTAACCCGCGGGTACCCATATTAGGAATGTACAATCCCAAGTCCCATCCGTTTATAATATTACGGGTAATATGGGTACCCGTAACCCTTAAAAAACGGAGCGGGTATAGGTATACCCAAATACCCGTTTTCCGTTGCCCACCCCTACTGACAAGCATTCTACCCATGGACATACCCTAACATCAAGTTTCTTACTTATGAATAAGGTTGCTATTCGGTCGGTTACCGATTAAACCAGTAATTGACTGGCCGGTTTTTGGTATACAGGCAGAGGCCACTCACGGATCGAATACTGGTACCGGTTTGTAACTGGTTAACCGGAAAATAACCGACCAAAGATCTGGGCAGGTTTATTAATGGTCCAACCCAGCTTGCTTTCCTCTTCGTGGATCCAACCCAATGTCTTCTTCCGAATCCGAATCCGGCTCCGGCTCAGAGGTTGAAATGCGCCCTCCTTCACCTCGTCCTCGCGAGAACAAGAACTACTACAACCTCACCTGCGAACGCTGCCGTGAACTGGAGCGTATCGAGCCGGTCATCGAGGACGGCGACGAGGAGAGGTATTTATTTCCACGCGAACGCATCGGCGAGGGAGAGTTCGGTGACAATGAAGGCATAAAGCAACGGGTCATCATGTATCGGAAGTCGTTGGCGAAATCCGGCGTAAGTTAGCTTAATTATGATCAAGCAAGCTTATACCTAACCTGATGGCTCGATATACTATCTTCAATTTAACCCTAATTTCAGACAGTTAATTAGTTAGTTAGTTAATCTTTTGCTCTCTTGCAGGGGTTTGATGCTGACTGCCCTCCATGTTATCTAACCCACAACCCATTTCTCTACTCCGGGCAGCATTATGATGATTGGGATATTTTCAATATCAAAGTTCAGGAGGCTGTTGAACATGTGATCGATACATATAACAGGGAGAAGGTGCGAATGCTGTGGTTTGCTGTGAACGATATTCACATAGATGATTAGAGATTCTCTGTTCTGTTCATCGTGATGAAAAACTTTTACATGCTCTTCCTTTTGAAACTGTGTTTTTGCAGGGCAAGAGTTTGAAGTACGGGAAAACCTTGAACGTAACTGCATCGCGGTGTCTGTCGGTGTTTTCCCTCTATATAACTTTTGAGTGCTCCAATCCGCCAGAAGATCCTTCTTTTGAGAAGTACCAAGCTGTGGTTTCCTGTGATACGAGTGACAATATTGATGATGATAAGAAGAAGATTCTCATCTTCAGGAAGGAATCAACTGGGATGGGTGAGTTGTAGACTTGCTACTTACTTTTACTATGATGGACCATTATATCAATTTGACCTATATCCTAAACGTGAATAGCGTCCTAACTTAGAGAATCATTTCAGTAAAAAAATTCCAGAATACAAGTCAAAATGATGATGATGTGATGATTGTTGTTGTTTACATACCTGCTTTAGTCCTGTTAGTGGATGGGCTCTGGTTGTATTTCTGTATGTAGTGCTTTTATCGTCAGTTGATGTATCAGCTTATTTGTTCATAGAAAATGTTCACCCTTTTATGTACGTGTTTGTGGTGAAAGTGCTCTTTTGCTTGTTTTGTCTTGAAGTATAAGCTATCTTTGATGATATTTTGCATTGATTGGCATAAAAAAATAATGTTTTCCAATCAAAGGTTAAATTCGCCTCCCCCCTATGTGCAGATTTGCTAGATCCTCACGAGCCAACGGCTCGTTGCATAGCAATTTGGAAAGCAAAAGCTAGAGTTGGAGATGGAGGTGGGAAAAGAAAGTTCGAAGGTGACGAAGGAGTGGAGGGTTGAGTGATGATGAGAATGTGGTCATGTTTCAATACTTCATCCATTTATATATCTTAAATCTATAGAACAAGGAATGCAAACAAGCGAACCCGGAGATCACGAAAGTAGGGAATCGAATCTCTCGTATTGATAAGGAAGCATATCATTTATGTGAGAAATTGTCAGCTGTAAAAAGAAAGCGGTATGACTATTTGATTATTTTATATGTCACTTCGAAGTAGTAAGCACATCTCTCTCGTTTTTTGGCTCTCGGCTCCGGGGCTCCGTCTTAGGTTCTTTATTCCGAGGTTGAACATATGACATTCCCCCTCTCTGTTGGTCAAGCACTCATTTTTTCCCCACTTTTATTATCAATGTCTTATAAAAACTTACAACTAATATTGATACAAGGAAAAATTCACATTATATCGAAATCTATTATATGATTGTCCGGGATGATGTAGATTCTATGAACTTCATACGAGTAGATTTTTGTATGTCTCATACTCATTGCATATCCGCCTTTTTTTTTTATCACAAGGATAGTTAGGATCTTAAACTCTGTGATTCAAAAATGATATACAGAAAATTCAACCCACCTAAACCATTACCATCCTTAGTATCAAGTAAGTATCAACCCATATGTATGTCATGGCATTTGTCATAAATTTGCCAGAAAAAGGAGGAGGTTGGAGAGAAATTTTACAATGCTATATAGTATTGGTGTTATAGGTTTTTACTTTTATGGTACAACTTGAAATTGTACATTTAAGGTTATAGTACAACTTTAGATTATATCTATGCTTTTTGTACAAATTCTTTTATGGTACAACTTGAACTTGTACATTTATGTGATGGTACAACTTCAAGTTGTAAAGTTGTACCATAACATAATGACACAAATTCTTTTATGGTACAATCTAAACTTATACATTTCATGTTATGGTACAACTTTAAGTTGTACATTAAAGCATCAATACTATATAGTATAGTAAAAATGCTCGGAGGTTGGGAAGTTTAGAACATTAAACCGATAATGATATCATAATTTGATTTTCTGTAATTCATTTATACTTATGAACACGCTAATTTTAAAGATATATCAAACATCAAACTAACCATCTTATCATAGTACTTGTTTTAATTGCAATTCTTGAGCGATCTTGAGTTTCTAATCTCGTACCAATGTGTGGTAGTGGTTAAATACTTAAATCACAACATTGAACATAGGTTCACCTGCCAACTGGATTGCAATTACAAGTGATAGAAATGGACAAACATACCCAAAACAATATAGAGCACATGCACAACCACATGGCCATATGACTTGATACACAGATACAGTAGTCTTTCACCTAAAGATAACAATTTTTTTTATAACTAGCTTGTATATTAATAATCATAAAGATAACACTTTTGAACGACCTGCAAACATGGATCACTGTTATAGTGAGATGGAATGGTAAAAGATTATATTTTATTATTTTTTAATTATCACATTACTTATTTAATGGTGAAATATCAGAGTTGACTGCCACATCAGAAAAATTTATCGGAGACTAACGGAGACCAAACATGAACTGTTTAACTAATTTTAGTGACCAAAAATGAAATAAAATAATTTTAAACGTGTGAAATGAACAAACTTGCAATCTACCCCCTAACTATAATTAACATGTAAATTCCGACGAATTGTTTTATTTTCTTTCATTTCATCAATTGCCAATTCACAGAAACGAAAACCCTAGCTTTCATAGTCGATTCGATCCAATGTCTTCCCCTTCCGACGTCGACTATGACACCGCCGACACCGGCTCCAGCTCCAGCTCCGGCTCGGAGTTTCAGATGCGCCCTCCTTCAATTCTTTATGGCGGTCCATACTACAACATCTACTGCGAACGCTGTCGTGAACTGTAGGGTATTGAGCCGGTCATCGAGGACGGACCGAGGAGAGGTACTTAATTGAATGCGATATTAGTGACAATATTGTTGATGATAAGAAGCAGATTTTGATCTTTAGGAAGGAATCAACCGGGACGGGTAAGTTGTAGATTTGCTACATATATAGTTAGTTTCACAACAATGCACCGTTGCATGCAGGCTGGCTAGTCCCTAAATCGCAGCTCTCGTCTCTTGTAGCATACATTATTAGTATCCTGATTCATGCAAAGAGTAGGTAGTAATTAACCACATTGGCATCAGCATCGGCATCGACATCACACTGTTTGTTACTTAAGTTTGACCTATATCTTAAACGTGAATAGAGTTCTACTTAGAATTATTTCAGTTAAAATGATGATGATTGTTGTTATTTTCATATATGATTTTGTCCTATTTGTGGATCGGCTCGGTTTCAGGTCTGTAAGACTGTAACTAGTGCTTTTATCACCAGTTGATGTTTCAACTTATTTGTTCATAAAAAAATGTTTGCCCTTTTATGCATGTGTCTGTGGTGAAACTTTCTCTTTCGATTGTTTTGTCGTGATATATAAGCTTGCTTTGATAATATATTGCATTGATTGACATAAAAAGTAATGTTAGTCCTCTCCATCTTTGTAGATTTGCTAGATCCAGACAGACTCACAGCTCGTCGCGTAGAAAGTTGGAAAGCAAGAGCTAGAGTTGGAGATGAAGGGCGAAAAGAAAGTTCCAAAGTGACCAAGGAGAAGAGGATTGAGTGACGATGATGAGAATGTGGGAAAGCTTGAAGACTTTGGTCATGTATATCTCTCAAGTATTGTAATTCTTTCCTAGACTCAAATTTTGCTCAATTTCCCTTCTTCTATAAACAATATCTCACAAAAACATACAAGTAATTAACATTGATACAAGGAAAAATTCACATTATATCACGAATTTGATTGGCTAAGAATGGTGTAGATTCCATGAACATCATTGAGTATTTTATAAACAAAATAGGGGTTTTGACTTTTTTCCCTTCTTCGACGCTATAAACAAAATAGGAATGGTCGGGTGTAAAGCAGGTTGGACTTCAACATTTTTGCTTTATGGGTGCTGGTCGGGTGTAAAGCGAGTTGGACTTCAGCAAAACCCTACCCTACCCGCTAATTTCAGAAGCGAGTAAAAGGCACACACTACCCAAGACCCGTCAACATAGATTTACCCGCTTTAACTAGTTAGATTGCATTGGTCGGATTGGATATCCATGAGTTCAGATTCAATTGACATTCCTAATGGACGGCGGTGTTAATTGTTCATGGGCTAGCAGAGTACCTTTTGTGTATGTGTCTGTAGACCTTGTGCCTGTGGTGAAACTTTCTCTTTCACTTGTTTTTTTCCTAATTGTTGCTTTGATGATATATTACAATGGTTTTGATATAGAAAATAGTGTTCCCCAATCAAAGTTTGAAGTCTCTTCCCCATCTTACAACAGATTTGCTAGATCCAGACGAGTCAACAGTGGATGTCATGGTGGGTCGAGAGGGTTGGGTGATGCACGTACGAGATTGATGTTGTCTAAGAAGAGGAAGTACAAATGCTTGATCTTTAAACACATACTTGCTTCAAACAAGAATCTTTCCTATGGGATGATGCTAACTTTACTATTTGAGCATTTTCGTGTGGATTTGAGAGGTGAGGTTGGCATCACCATCACAAGGCAGGAGTTCTACACAGTTACATCCCTGAAGAAGATGAGATTTGAGCTACATGATGGAATGTATGTCCGAGCATACAATCTTCATGTAGTCCATGATGGTGATGATGATGCTGCTGATGATGGTGAAGAGCCCATAGACGAACCAATGTGGCAGCCACAGAGTTCAGTTCCATCAGTCATCCTAGACCGTATATGGGAGCACATGGATGGCATGTACGAGTACATGAAGCAGATGTCCACCCAGACCCAGATGACTGACATCAACGACTACATGGGGCAAATGACCACTTAGATGAGCTCACTGCAGGTGACGGTAAATGATATTTGAGATGAGTTCCGCTCTTTCAGTGGAAGATACATGCATCCGCCCATATCCGACTACCATAATGCAACCAATGAGGAAAATGCGGATGAGTGAGAGAGTGAAGAGATGTAGGAACTCCATGAGTTTATCTTGTGTTTTTGTTGTTGTTGTTGTTGTTGTTAAGTAGACGATTTGATTTGAAACAACTTTGATTGCGGTTTGATATTATGTGGTTTTTGATTTTATGAAGTGTGTTTTATGTGAACAATTATGAAGTGTGTTTTTTATTTTATGGGTCCTTGCTAGTCATCATTTCCTTAACTCGGTCGACCTCTTACTATATCCGGTCGACTTCGAGACCAACACCCGATCCTCTTATTAGGTCCTTTACTCTTCTGTCTGGTCGACCTCTTTCTGTAAATGGTCGACCATTTTTGGTAATGACCACAAATAAGATGGTCGGCCTCATTACATTTACGGTCGACCAGTTTGGTTCAGACGACAATGAAAAGGGCGACCCATATTTTATTGTGGTCGACCAGTAATGTCACAACTACACCAAATACAGTCGACCACTACATTGAAAAGATCGACCATGATAAGTCATCATATTGCCCACATTAGTAGATTCGGTCGACCTCAATTAGGAATAGGTCGACCGAAAAGTGCAAGTTACGGTGACATCCATGTTTGGCTTTTGAGCCTTGCGGGTAGGGGTGTGCAACGGTTCGGTCCGTACCGAACCACACCAAACCAAACCGTTGTTAAGACCTGACCGGACCAGACAGAGCAAAATGCGGTCCGGTCCTTGGTCCTAATGAATTTTATAATTATTGAAGAAATGGTGGACCGAGCTCATATTTGGACGGACCAAATGGACCAAATGCAAAAATGATTCGGTCCTTAATCCTAACATGTCTTTCACTAATGGACCACGGTTCTTATGAATTTAATTCGGTCCCGGCCGAACCGAACCTTTGCACACCCCTACTTGCGGGTGGCTAACCCCACCAATCTACGATTAATTTCGTATGAATTGCCGTCGTCACCGGCTAACCTCATTATTTACCCACCGTACTGGTTGAACCGCAACATAGGAATGTGAGTAGTGGCTAGCAAGCAAGTTAGTAACAAGTACAGAAATGGACCAACAACCGAAATCAATACAGAACAAAACAGCAGCAGCATAAACTTCAATTATATTAGCCTTTCCTTCATTTCTATATGAATAGTTTACCACGAAAGAACAAGTGAAAAACGGCAACCATAGAGCAGTAACAGAGGAAGCTATTACATGTTTTTAACCTGTTGAAGTTACTGGTGGTGGTAATAAATACATAATCCCACCACCTTAATATCAAAACCATTGAATGTATTCTTACTGCTCAAATTACTAATAGTAAAGTTCTGTGGATAATCTTATTCTAAACCTGCTGTTTCAGTTCTTCTGAACCCGTCTACCAAAAACAGAACCCAGTGTATCCTCTCTCTTTCCTTACCAACAAACAACACTTAAAACGGTGGAAATTCAGCGAGGGGCAGCGGCATTATTTGCCTGACCTCCTGTAGATGCTGTAGGCAACTGCTATGGTTGCTACTGCTCCCACCACGGCAGCACCTGCAAGGATGTCGCTCTGATCGAGTGATTGGATCCAGTCTGTCACCTTACTCCCGACACTGCAATTCTTCTTCTCAGCGGTTTCCTTCTTGGTTTCCTCGCTTGGTTCGGTGTTCACTTCTCTGCAGCAGGAGATACCGTTGACACCTTGGCAACAACTGATCGGTGCAGTGTCCTTGTTCACCACCTGAGTGCTGGTCATAACTTCAGATGCTGCTTCTCCATTGGTGCTGGGTTTCTTGGCCTCATGAGCTGCTTCTCCATTGGAAACAACCTTCTGGTTTGCTACTGCATTCTCTAGTTCAACTGGAGCACCAAGTTGGCCCCTGCATCGGCAATGTGTGCATTTATCAGTTTTCTAAATCACCATATGGTGGGAGACAACGGAGTTTCTACAGGAAGTACATATTTTCTAGTTTCCCGAATACCATGCGACAAGAAAGAAATTTCCATGAAGATAAACTTGGTACATTGAGTATCATGCACCATTTATCAAGTACCTATTGGAAGATAGACACATAGAAGGAAAAATATAATCTCATATCAGTATCAAGGTCCTGTCTACGATGTGCCACAATCCATAGTGAGCAAGCAAACCCCAAAAGAAGTTTGTACGAGAACAAGATTGTTTAATTCAGCAGAATCAGAAGCTACAGTATATCAAAAGGTTCGAACTAGAAAACATAATACTTCTTCTAGATATCACAGGGTGTATAGAGACTCACAGCTGATATCTCAAGCATCTTCTTTCTCTATCATACCAATTTATAGTTGGTTGCAAGATTGCAAAGGATAGAAGTAAAATATGTAGGTTAAACCAGGCTTTAGGTTTCGAGAACAGAAGCTAAAAGTAGGAAACAAAGTGACTCTTCTATACACCACAAGGAGGATACAGACTCACAGCTAATATCTCAAGGATCAATGCTTTTTATATACTACCTAATTATAGCCATTGCAAGAATGCACAGGATAGAAGGAAAGCATGCACAGAACAGAAGTAAGCACAAACTCACAAACCTGAATAGACGTTCTATCAACTCCCCCTTTCCAATATCCTGATCAAGAATCTCAGGCACATCCTCAGGAGTAACATAGCCATACCTGCAGCAATAGATTCAGTTAAACACTACCCTCCATTCAATTTCTCTACACCACAGCAAAAGAGATATGCAGGTTGGATGATCCAAAAGTCTCACCAGTGTCCAGTGACTTTGCCCTCAGAATCTGATCCGTATACAATCACGTTGCCTGCATACTTATGGCCCCCAATGTGTGAGCAACCACTGACAAACACCTGATCCTTCAACCCTCTAGCCTCAATATCCTCATTGAGCTTGTCAATCAGAACAGGGCCACAAACACCACATCTCTTATCACGACTCCCATGAGCACACACAAAGATATGAGACCCAGCCAACGACTCTGCCAGTCCAGAAGCCCATGGTTTCCCATTCACAAGCACATCGTCAACGAAACCATCAACATCCGATTCCTTCAAACCCCTGATTTCCGAAAAAATATCACAAAACCCCTTAATCAATCAAAATCCATCCCTGAGAATCATCAATTCATCAAATACACACAAGAACCCCACAATTCTGGGCATCGCACAAGTCACAGGGAAATTCGCTAGAAGTAGTAGACTAAAATTAATAAGACTCGGCTGGAGAAGCTAGTCATCGTGATCGGTAGTACGCCGGCGGCGCGAGGAAATGAGAAACATTCTAGAGCCGAGACGCAGCTCCGATGAACACAGAAATGCTCGAAATCGATAAATTCAAACAGGGAAACGAAACTCACTTGTATTTGACCATATCAGGGAAGATGAGCACGTCTCCTTCCTCGAACCCCGCCTCCACACGTGTCTCGCACGTGGTAACCTTGGTCTGCCCAAATAGAAACCCGATCAAACGCCGAAATCAGAAACTACCAAAGCAGAAAATCGAACAAGAGATAGAATCAATTCAAGCCGGGAGGAATCGGAATCGATACCTTGACTGTGATTTCGCTCTTGCGAGATCGGATAGCAGCGGCCATCAGCTTCGGCACGGTATCGAATTCGGTCTTCTCGACCTGAAGCATCCACGACTCGCGGTTCTTGTAGCAGAGGAACACGTGACGGTCGTAAGCATCGACGGTCCCGGCGAGCTTCTCCTTATACATCTCCGGACGGCTGAACCCGAACTTCTCCTCGTCCGGCTCTTCGTAAGTCACCACCACGGCTCCCGCTTCCACCTCAACGGCCGCCGCCGCGGCCGCACCAGCAGCAGGAACGTTGTCCGATTCCGCCATCGAAGATCCTCGGCCCAAGCTCGCGGTGGATCGAATTAGGGTTTTCGCTGGATAAGAACGCAGGGAGGCGGGAGCAGAGAAGACGGTTGAAATGGGGAAGGCTCGGAGACGATGATAAGTGGGGGAGGAGGAGAGTGACAGCGACGTATTTAAAGGAGCGGCAGCAGGGTTGCGCAATGCGCATAATATTTCAATTTTAAATTTTCTTTTCTTCTTACAAAATTGTCTTCGCCATCGGTGAAAGCGCAGGAAAAAGCAATGAAAGGGGAGGCGCGTGTGGCCTAGAAACGGCAAGGAGAGAGAAAGAGACGAAAAGGGATGCGCGTGACGAACACGTTACTGACTGGAGTAGGGGGGAATGCTACAGTGCAGTGGCGGTTGCATGCGAGGAAATGACGTGGCGCTCTGGGAATGGGTACGGGTGGCGGTGACGTGGGATATTTTTAATTCCTGGATCGTGGGAAATGGATCTAAGAAAATTAGAAAAATTGGCGGGTAAGAAAATCGTTTTCGTGCGTGAGTGAGAGAGGATGGGGTGGGTCCCATTTGAAAATTGGAGGGAGGAGGTAAGCCGTAAGTCAAGCGAGTAGTTACACAGTTTGTTACAGCGAACAGTCCACGTAGGCAACAGTTTGTTACAATTCAGAGAGCATTTCCACGTAGGTATTACAAACTCGGGCTGGGCTTTGTACACCGAAAGAGAAGATTTTTTTTTGAGGATATGGATACTCGCCAGGCCCAACAATGGGTGATATATAAACCACATGGACAATTGCTTGTTCTTTTGGCCAACTCGTCTAATTTTAGGTTTATTATGGGTGAAGAAATGATTTTCTCTTCTGAAGAGTGATCTAATAGAAAAAAAAAGGATGTGAGATGAGTGTGGGTAGGTTGGACTAAATTGATATTTGAATTGGATTAGAGTGGCTGGTCCTGCCCAACGACAAGGTTTTGGGATCTCCCCGGCCATAAATAGCATTTATTGTAATTTGGAGTAATGACTTTGCAGTTATCGATTAGAAGATATGGTCCGACATCATATTCGTGAAATAAGAAGTTTTTGTTGTGAAATAGCAGAAGCAAAAGCAATGTTGGAAGGCATTTTATTGGCAAGTCAGCTTGGATCTCACTACCTTATAAAGATGGATTGCTTGATCATCACGAAAGCCTTGCAAGCGGCTCCTTCACGATGGTTTTGGAGAATCTTTGCTTGGTTAGGTGTCATGAGAGACATCCTCTTTCGTCACCCGTTGATCAAATGTATCGTTTGCTTGTGGGATTTGGGTGATGGATTTGGCAACCAAATCCCAACCATCATGGATTTGGGACAACTCCATTGTTTGCTAAGAGACACAAATTCGTGAGGGCCACGGATTTGATCTCATTTTTAGATCCAAATCCGTGGACCCCACGGATTTGATCATGGAAGGAAAAGTTGTGAAACAAATCAATGATAAATCCATAATAAAAATTAACCAAACAAACAATGAACTCTTCCAAATCCATAATGCAACAAATCTATCATAAATCCAAAGGGTTTTAAAACTCAAAACTCTCATTCTCAAATCCAACAAGCAAACGAGCCCAAAATTTCTCATGTTAAGCTTTCTTTCAATGTCAAAACTGATTGGGTTACTAGATCATGTGTTGGAGATTACCTCCCCATTGACTGGGTTACTGTGCTCGATGTTCTTTTCCCTTTGTTGTAACCGCAACCAAGTGATAGGCAATATCATACCCTTTATTGTAACAAAAAAAAGGATAGAGGCGTGCTTATTAGGCATCTCACGGCTAGGCCATCGTCGTGAAATGACATTCCCCTTATTTAGAAATAGAAATTTAAAATCATAGATCAATTTAAGTTTGATTCTCAAATATAAGATTTTGCTATTTGATCCACAACACACATGTACTGAATCATAATTAAAAAAAAAATATGGGTCCTAATTAATTAAAAGCTTGCCAGTAATAAAAAAAAATTTAAAAGCTTGCCAAGTGGGTCAAATCTTTATCTTGGGATTAGACTCGATGCTGAATTCCGATGTAAAGTAAAAGTGTTTAATATCTGAAATCTTGATTGGGGAATCAAGCCAACCAAAAAATTTGGCAATTGTTTTTGGGCTTGGGATTAAAGGACAGCTATGAAACCACTCGAATTCCCATTCTTGGACATGCCGAGTTGGCCGAGCATCCAAATCACATGCAAAATGGCAATGATTTGAGGCTTCATGCTTGGATTTTCTAATGATATATTAGACCTCATATGTGGTTAATGAAAGCTTAAGGGGTCGTTTGCTTGTTGGATTTGGGTCATGGATTTGGTACGTAAATCCCAAGCTTGATGGATTTAACATAAGTCCATTGTTTGTTGAAGGGTGCTAAATCCGTGGGGTCCACGGATTTGATCTTTATTTTGGAACCAAATCCGTGGACCCCACGGATTTGTAAATCCCACATATTGATTTGGGATTTGCAAATCCTTGATGGTTAGTTATTTATTTAACAAATCCATCACAAATCCTTCATCAAATCTATCATGCAAACATTAGACTCTTCAAATCCATAATCCAATAAATCCAACATAAATCCCAAGGTTTTTGTTGGCCAAAACCCTCATTTTCCAAATCCAACAAGCAAACGACCCCTAAATAGGTGACCTTGCACTGGTATTTCATTCCATGAACCAATTGATTGAATTGAGCCACATAGATGAACATTTTGTGACAGTCTGAAACCTAACCAAACACCTAATTCCAACCACAATGGATGTGTGTTTTGCATTGAGATGAAAGCTGATTACACGTTCATTCCATCCATCACTACCCCCATTCCTTCACAGGTTCTCTTCCCTTTTCATATAGCCTGATTTTCTCCCCAATGAGAAAAGGACACCCACATTACAATTGATCATCATCAATCAGCAGCATCAGAGGATGCTGCAACAAGCCTCAACTCTACAACAGCACAACTCAAAAGAAATCAATGTCCAAATAATTACCTGCAGGCTTCACATCCACATTCCCACCACCAACTCCTCCATTCACACCACCACCAGCCGTCGCAGCCGCCACCTTCTCAGCTCTCAATATGTCCGCCATGGCCTGCCTTGGCACCTCAGGAGGGCTAGTGCACCGAATCAGTGCCCAGTTGATGCTCTGAAAGAAAGGATGCTGCTTGATCTCGGTAGCTCCCCGTCTATAAGCAAGCCTGTGCTGTGGCTCCTTCACAAGCAGCCCTCTGATCAAGTCCCTAGCAGCAAAGCTCACGCTGGGAGTTTCAGGGAACTTCAATGGCTGACCGATCACATTGAACAACGTGGCCCTATTCCCAGCTCCTTTAAACGGAGTCTTGCCGAACAGCAGCTCATACAGAAATATCCCGAAGGTCCACCAGTCCACAGCGCTTCCATGTCCTTCCCCCTTTATGATCTCTGGTGCTAAGTACTCGTGGGTCCCCACGAACGACATGGATCGTGCATTGGTGGGCTCCGCCATCAGCTCTGGGAGTGGGTTCACCTGATGATTCACCTCGTGCCTCGACTTGCTGTTACTGTTGGTGCTGCTGCTCTTCTTGTTCTTGTTCTTCTTTCTAGACATGAACCGTGGTCCGAAGCAGGCTGGCTGAATGCAGTCTGGCTGGATCACACAGGTGGGCTCGATGCAGGACGGCTGAGCACAGTATCCAGAGTTCTTGGAGTCGACAGTTGAGTTGGGTTTAGACGATTTGACGAGAGTTGGGCAGACAGCACATCTGAGGGAGAGGTCGAAGTCTGAGAGCATGATGTGACCGTCTTCTCTTACTAAGACATTCTCGGGCTTCAGGTCTCGGTATATGATCCCAAGCATGTGCAGGTACTCCATAGCAAGGAGAACCTCTGCAACATAGAACCTGCGCAAATACACAGTAAACTTCATTCACATGGCTCAGAAATGAAAAATGCAATCATGGGAAGAAGCAGAATGATATAGAGCTCAGTCGAGTAATGGTATTAATAAGCTGAATCAGAAGCTAGGTTGAATCAGAAAGGGACTGATTCTGAGGAGAGAGAAATCAAGCAAGAAGGGCACTGATTCTGGGAAGCTTCAACTGGGGAAGGACAACTCTATCTGAAAATCTACTAAAGTGATGCAGAAAAAGAAAACATGAACTATTGTGTAATGCAATTCCAGTGTATATTATGTCCAATACACAATATAATGATCTTTCTTTCAGAAACTATAAAGTTTTTCAGGAAAAGGCCAGACTTTTTAAGGCAGAAGCTAAGTAACGTGTATTACTATGGAGAGAAACATCAAAAAGACCAATTATGGGGAAAGCATCCGTACCGGGCAGCATGCTCAGGGAAGAACTTTCCAGGTTGTCTTTGCCTTAGGGAATGGAGGTCACCGCCAGGGCAAAACTCCATCACCAAGCAAGCCCATTTCTCGGTCTCGAAGTGAGAATACAAAGTGGGCAAAAACGGATGATCCAGCGATTGCAGAATCTCCCTCTCCGTCTGAGCCCTCAGAAGCTTCTTCCGAGCAGCCAAACACGACTTATCCATGACCTTCATTGCAAAATACGTCCTGGTACTGGTCAACTCGGATAGATAAACATTACCTATGTCCCCACACCCGAGCTTCTTCACAGCTCGAAAGTGCTTCAGCTCGAGAGCTCCTCCAACGTGGGCCCTGACAGCCTGGATTGCCTCCCACCTCACATCACCATTTGCCTTGTGAGGTTTGTACAATGTGCTGCTGCTCAAACTGCTCGTGCTGCTTTCATCACTGACATCACTACCCGTGCTTGCTCTGTAGATGCTGCTAGTCTTCCTGCTCTCGATGTTCGTGCTCGCTTCTTCACTGTTGGTGAAGCTCTGTTTCGCCTCTGCGTACAATGTGCCTGTATAGACGCTATTCGAAGGGCTCGAACAAAGGCCTCCAACAGGTCGAGATGGCAAAGGTGCACGGTTGTTGTTATTCTGACCACTGCCCAAATCTGTTCCAGATTCGATTGAGCCATCTGAAGTAGTAGTAGTGGACGTCTCGTGATCATCACAAGTGGACTCTACTACTAACACTGAATCCTTCTTATCAACAGTAGAAGATGGCATGGTGAAATCTGGCTCTTGTTCCTTACTACTTGAGCTGAAGAAGTGCTTAGCAGTTTTGTGGGATGGCTCGTCGAATCCTTGATCAGAACCACCCTTCATTGCATGATCCATATAACCATTAGAGTATGAGGACATCTGTTTAGAAGGCTGAGACCGAGATGTTGAGCAGGAGCTCAAAGGAGGGCTACTGGGAACTCTTGGAACTGATGATTTCTTGCTGGTCTTTGTTGAAGGTCCACCTCCTCCATCATCAACCAATGACTCCATGGGGGAGGAGCAGTAACTCAAAAACCAGAACTGAAACACAAAGGGATTGATTGATTATATGAGATGCTAGAGCTTGTAGCCATTAACAAAGAGCATATCCAGAGGATTTTAAACTGCAACCGACTAATTGTACTCATTCATTCACTACCACCCAAAAGAACAAATCAAGGGAACGCTACAATTTCTAGGATTCCTGCACCAGACAAAATCAAGTGAGACAAAATAAAACCTTCCCTCCAAGAGAAGATTGGAGAAGATCCACATTACTGCTGCCTAGGATAATAGAGATATACCCCCTAAGAGATCCGATCACTGATGATGAATTATTGATGGACTGGTGACACAATAGAGAAACAAAGTCCAACCCACAATCGGTGGAAACAAGATACAAACATAGAACACAAGTCGAGGATTGATACTGTAAAAGACTACGGCATATGATATTTGCAAGCAATGAAGACAATCCAAAAACCAGTCCCCCCTTTTATCTCTTTCAGCAAGATATCCCAAATTAAACGCACAAAACACCAAGAAATCGTCATTGCTTTCTTCACATACAGAAAATAGACCTTCCTCACGCACACAGGAAACAGAAAACAACCCTTCAGATTCCAGAGGAGTAGAACAAGAATGTAGCAGTCAAGACATGAAGAACAAACCAAAAGCTGCGAACTTTACACACAGAAACCCCTTATTGTGTACCAAACAGTAGCCCAAGAAAAGGCTTTACCTGGTTTGAAGCAGAAGAAGAGAGCAGCAGCCAGAAATGCAGGGGAAGGAGTGCAGCAAGAAACAATCTTGCATGACTGTACAAGCACACCCAAATGGCAGGAGCAGAAGAGGGAGCGAAAGTAAATAGGTAGGGAGAGAGAAATCTCAAGAATCGACGCTCGCAGCTGCTGCTGCCTCAAAAGGACCAAAACCCAACTCAGAAAGAGGAGAAAGTGAAACCCCTTTTGTTCTTCTCTTCTTTCATTCAGATCAGATCGCCAGGCAAAGAGAAGAGAGCCCGACTGGCTGCTGGCACTTGGCCGAGAGAGAAAAAGAACAAATCACAGAGAAAAAAGGGTTGAATTATATGGAAAATGATTAACTTTGACATATAAATAAGAAGGGGGAAAAAAACACTACTATATATCTATTCCAAGGTTGTCAAACCGGTTTATACCGTTGTGCCGGTTTGGCAAGTGAAATGGTACGACCGGTGGTATAACCAGTTTGTGCCGGTTCATGCCGGTTTAAAAAAATATAAAAACAATTAATATCCAATGTATTTAATCATATATAAAACATATTTGTGGAAAATTTAGTTACAATCCAACAAATATCATCAACTTTTAACTATTACATTCATAAAATAAATTATAAAATAATTTTTTTATTCATTAAATTCATTAAAATGATGTCATTAAACTTAGAATGCGTAAGTCGATCATACCGGTCATACCGGTGGTGTCATGCCGGTTTCATGACCGGCACAGGTTGAACCAGGTTCAACCGGGTGGCATGCCACCGGCATGACAACCATGATCTATTCCCATTTTTCTCCAAAAAAAATATATCTATTCCCGCAAGAAAGTAATCATCTTTTCTAGTGGAAAAAGCAGTTTATCTTTTCTTTTCTTCGTTGGGAGACTGACAAATCAGAGCTTTTGGCTACTGGTTCCTGAAAGGAATCTGATAATTCAGGCCATTAATTGAGTAAGAACTTCAGTTTTTTTTCTTCTTCTTTTTAATTAATTCCTGGGTATCTAAAATTCTAAACAAATATACTGAGTGATGTATTCCACTATTCCTTATCCGTGATTGTCTTCTTGTTGAAACTATATTAAGAAAGTTTATCAATAACAAAAACGAGATTAGTGGCGCTTAATGAGAGAGAGATAAAGAGCTGATTAATCAGTGTTTAACGATAATGGTGTTTTTCAATGTGGTGGAGATGTAGGAATTAATTAATACAATAATCCATTGCAATACAATAGCCGTTTTTTGCGTTTTCTTCGACTTTTTCTTCCCCACTCCAAAGTCCAAACAAGTGAAGCCATTATTACAGAGTGGCCACTTAACTTAGCGTCACTAATGAATTAGTACCTAACGTTTTCAGTTTTTAACAAATTTATTATTGATGTTTGAAGTAATCAACATAACAATCATTTTATTAGTTATTCTATTTATGTCTAATTTTCGATCAAAATTATCCCACAATCTCACCTGAACAAATAACAAGAAAATGTGGTATTTATCTACATGATGTATACGGACACGAGTGTCTCGACACAAACTAACTTGTATCTTATCCAAAACCAAACCCTTTACTCAATCCAACAATTTCATCAACATTTACCCGAAACCAATCTAATCTCGTCCTCCCCTATCTTCTAGGTTCAAAGAGCTATCATTTCTTGCTGAAGTATCAGCACAACGTGTGCGAATTTCGGCCGACGAGTGATCATTTATGTTGTTTGGTTATGTTCATACTAGCAACAAACTTGTTGTATTCGTAATTTTGTAGAAACAGAGACATAAAATGCAACGTACTCATACGAACAGCCTACAAGCCTGCCAAATTAACTGGTGATTAATACTGAACTAACTTTTCACCGGAGAAAAGCATTGATCATCTAAATTAATTATGGCAGCACATAATTAACTTCTAATATTGTGATGATTTTGCATGTTAATATTGCACAGGAACTCAGACCTTAATATTGTGAAAGGAAAATACCGTAAGTACAAATACATAAAAGAGAAATGGTACGAAAATTGGAACCTCGTTGGGAGGAAGGGGAAGGGCTCACATGGACGCACGTGAATAGAGCCCGGCAGTAGCACGTGGCCGGCTGGCGCTTCTTTCCCCGGCGCATCTTATGATGCAAATTACAATGCGCCCCCCTAAACAAAGTTAATTAAACTAACCTCCTTTCATTAACCTTTTTCTTTTGCTCCTAATGACATTTTTTTTTTACTTCGACTCGTACACTCTGGTATTTCGATTCGGTCAAATTTTATTGCCTGGTTTTTATTTGGGCACGATAAAAATGACTATATTTTTTTGATGACTATAACAATGACTATATTTTTTTAATGAACACAATAAATTTTAAACAATTATTAATTTTTTATTTACATCTTAACAGACGAACACAAAAAATGATAAACGAGTGATTTTAGAGTTAGCACTATTCTTGTGCCACAAGGATGAAATCTCTGACTGAATAGAATATATGTCATCCTTTTCGTCAAGTTTCATTCCTTATGTTTTCGCCTCGTTCTTAATTTTGCATAATCGTATGTAACTTCAATATATAAGTATGCATATATATAGTATGCATATGTAGTTTATCAGTAAGTACAGATTTTATCTCTTGAATGATATGATTTTATACCAGGCATCAGCAATATAACTATCTCTTTCCTTTAAAATTTTATCGAGCAAGTGCTCTTTTCTAGACCTCTTCCTACAACCATCAAACGGTTAGTAACTTGATTGAGTCACGACCTGTATTATCCTCGTGTGGCCAAATCACCCAATCTAAACCAAAACCAATAAAACAAGTACATAACTAAATATACCACCATGCTACTCTCATCAAATCCAATTACGATCTTCAACATCAATAGAGATGAAGATGAAGATTGAAGGGTTCGTGTTCAAGGTTGGACCCACTCAGGGCAAAGCAAATGTAGTGTGTAGGACAGAGGTTAGGCAAGCATCTATGGTGGTTGTTTCATGTCCCTCCCGCCATTTTCCCATCAAACAGTACGGGTGCCTTCCATTCCCTGTACTGATCCTCCTGCCATCTCAGCCATTCGTTCATGTCTCTGTTCTTAGATTTGACCACGTGGAGCGAGAGTGACCCTACGATGACCCGGGTCAGGGTCAGGGTCAGATATCAGAGAGAAGAACAAACAACCATAGACATGCTTCCAAAGTCTGTGGGGATGAAAACCTCAATCTCCACACACAAAAATGAATCGATCCATCAATCGGCCTAATGGAAAAAGGCCCTCAAAAAAGCATGTCCGAGACAAATCATTTTCATAATATAGCATGCAAATTGCAGGGAAAAAATCCAAAAGTACCACTGTTTAGAAAAAAATTTCCAAAAATACCACCCAACCCCAAAAAATTCCAAAAATACCACCCTTTTTCAAAAACCGCCACCCCACCCAGCGGTTTGGTCGAAAACCGCTTGTCGGGGGCGCGGTTTTGGACCAAACCGCGGGCCTAGGGGGCGGTTATAAAAAAAAAAAAAATTTTGGACCAAAACCGCTGGGTGGGGTGGCGGTTTGGCCCAAAACCGCCACCCCAACCAGCGGTTTGGTCCAAAAATTCGGTCGAAACTTCAAACGAACGTAACTTTGCAATCGGGTATCCGATCGTAGCGATTCTTTTTTTCATTTTGCATAACTTTTCAAGATCTACAACTTTTACTAGGATGAAATTTTCAAAACAGGAACTATTTGTGGATATACGGGACCTTGAGAATAACTTTACCTTTACTTTTCAGAAATCCATGTGCATTTTGAAATTATGATTATATTAAAAGTTGTAGATCTTAAAATGTTATGCGGAATAAAAAAAAATTCATGACATTCGGATTTTGGAGCACAAAGTTATGGCCGCCCAAAGTTTGACGAAATAAAAAAAAAATGCCGTTCGGGGTGGCAAATGACGTTTTTTCGAGACGAAGACGGAACCCGACTGTTTGAGACTTGCAAGATCTCAAAAAGTGATTCGGATTCAAAAAATGGAGGCCGCAAACTTTTTGAGATCTTGCAAGCCGCAAACCGCCGGGTCTCGCCTTTCGTCAAACTTTGGGCGGCCATAACTTTGTGCTCCAAACTCCGAATGTTATGAACTTTTTTTTGATTCCGCATAACTTTTCAAGATCTACAACTTTTAATATAATCATAATTTCAAAATGTACATGGATTTCTGAAAAGTAAAGGTAAAGTTATTCTCAAGGTCCCGTATATCCACAAATAGTTCCTGTTTTGAAAATTTCATCCTAGTAAAAGTTGTAGATCTTGAAAAGTTATGCAAAATGAAAAAAAGAATCGCTACGATCGGATACCCGATTGCAAAGTTACGTTCGTTTGAAGTTTCGACCGAATTTTTGGACCAAACCGCTGGTTGGGGTGGCGGTTTTGGGCCAAACCGCCACCCCACCCAGCGGTTTTGGTCCAAAATTTTTTTTTTTTTTATAACCGCCCCCTAGGCCCGCGGTTTGGTCCAAAACCGCGCCCCCGACAAGCGGTTTTCGACCAAACCGCTGGGTGGAGTGGCGGTTTTTGAAAAAGGGTGGTATTTTTGGAATTTTTTGGGATTGAGTGGTATTTTTGGAATTTTTTTTTTAAACAGTGGTACTTTTGGATTTTTTCCAAATTGCAGGGGGGGGAAATCTGGGAAGAGATAATAACACATAACAAATCATCATGCAGACAAAGCAAATCGTATTCGTATCTCACCTCATTATCCCACCATCATCCATTGCCAGCCAGCCAGCCAGCCAAGACCTCTCACCACCAAAACTTGCCCTTAACAAACTCCTTCCTTGCCTACAACACAGAACATCAGACGGGCAAGAGAGTGAGCTGCGCGTTTAAGTCGTAAGAGAAAGCAAGCACCCTAAACACATTGAAATATCGTTACGAGATTCTATGCGCGGTACAAGATACTTTAGATGATTGAAAATGTACGCTTCAGGAGCATGATATTGGCCTAATTTACATAGATATCCGGCGACGTAATTATCCTGATGATAGATATGGTACAGTCTTATGGATTACAAAAGATGGACCTGATAGCCAAGATATTGCTCTGTGGTGCTCAGCTGCTACTGGATACAAATGAAGCTAGCAGATTTACAATGCTTAGGGAGAGTTCAATCTTTAAACAAGTTCCTCACGAGCTTTGTGCAGCACTAAGATAAATAAGATGGTCAAAGAGGATTAGGTTGGATGGATAGCCGGCTGGTCAAGATTGTTCAAGCAAATTTTCGAGATACAGGTTCAAGATGTATCTCCCTGTGGACAGAACATCAAGCCTCTTCTCGCTGGGTTCGTACTTCCCCTTCCGAAGCTGGTACCGATGAGTGACCGACGATATCGTGTATGTTTGCCCTTCAATCGTCACACTCTCCCCACACTGCAGGTTCTGCTAGATACAAAGGTAACAACAGAGGAAAAACAGTTATGTTTTGTCATTTACTAGATGGACCACGGTCAAAATGTTGTTTGGAGAAACTGAATTCTAGGGTAGTCTAGTCTGATGCAGTAAGAAAAAAAAAGGCATATTCCACAACTAGGTCTTTACAATGTGCCTAAGTTGGTACCTAAAATAACAATCAGCTAGGAGGAGAACCACATATTTCCTTCAGATATCTGTAGGTTTTCAGCACCAGAAACAGAAGAACCCACTTCCCCCACAGCAGGCTAGAAAAGTGATACACCAAACAATAATGCTCCCCCCCAACCTTATCCATCTAATGAGTTGTGATGTCCTCAATTATTAGGGCATCAATTTTTCTGTGCTGCCCTCCCCACAGCAGAAGAACAGAAGGATCAGAAAGACATGTTTGTCCTACACCCTTCAGTTTTTGCCTCCCCATCCCGTTTCAACCCTTTGACACTCTCTCATTAATGGAGATTGGTCAATTCTGTACTTGCTGGTCTGCAAATCGATTAAAGATTAGGGATTCAAGAAGGATAAATGTTCTTCCCCTCTGAACATTGACTCCAGCTAGCTAATCATTTCTAATTCAAGGGGATCTAAAGCATCTGCACGAAAAATGCAGTACGATAGCCTATTATTATTTAACAATGTCAATATGCAAAGCACATGAGTTCCAAGCTTTAGACCAGATTTAGTTGGCACAGATCTGCCAATCTGTCCACATGGCTGGCAAGATTTCACCCAGCAGGACTTTGGTTCTTTCTCTGTATGTTCACACACACTCTCTGTAACCTAATCTAACCCTAGTTTTGTTTTGATTCTCAGTCTCTGGTCAGCTTAATTAACTCATATCCACGCAACAAGTTGACACCGCATTAGTTTATTCAATTGGTTTTTGCTTGAACAATGATAATTCCCCTTAACCGATTCAGCAAGCGGCAAAGTACTCTGGGAAAAGGCACTAAAACATCAACAATGTAGCGCTCACTCAAGTTACAGTGAGGGCAATTCAGTCTAGGGAAGTTCTGAATTCAACAAGCGATGGGAAACGGATTCAATTCAAAACAAACTTCATCGGATATCTGGGAGACTTACGGGAGGGAAGCAGCGGACGCCGAGGTTCTTAGGAGGCGGAGTGATCTCGATGACTTTGTAAGGATGGATTTGATCTCCTCCTCTATCTCGTTCTTTCTTTCTGCACACTACTTGGAGAGATGACGGTGCCTGCGCGACGACATAGTTTCCGACGTCAGGACGACGATGCATTGAGTAAGCAGAATCGAGCGCCGGCGGGAAAATACAAGACGCAGAGAGCAATCTTGAGAAACGGTGAAAGGAAATTGAGGGGAAACCTTCTGATAGGCACTGAGATGATTCCACGACAACGCCATTGCCATTATGTTCAACCTCTGATTGTTTTGCCGCCGGATTCCCCCCGTCGATCTGTGGTTCTGCGGTCTCGCTTGACAGACGAAACGAAACTGTGTGGGGGACAGAGGGAGGAACAATGAAGGCCAGAAAAATTCTCGGATAATTTTCTGTTTCTTCTTTTCCTTCCCCTCTTTTGGACCAACCCAACGACTCCAAAATGAGAAGAAAAATCTTTTTTTTTTTCTACGACTCGGCAAACTTGCAGTTTAGCGAAACTATAATCTACATCTCCTCTGACAATGGAGAACAACATTTTTGCAAGTAAACACGAAGTATCACAACTCCAATCTCAACAAATATGGTTATTCAAACACAAAATATCGACAGATATGGAGCTTTCTTCACCACTTGATCAACGAGAAGTGAACATGGAGCGTTCTTCGTCTTTAGGCAGTAAGGAACAGAGCTTTCCGCATTGCCCTATCGACAACTTGGAGCTCAGGGAACTGCACAAAACTCCACTCCACATCTCCTTCGAATAACAAAACCACATCATGGACCAAAGCAAACAATCATGACGCACAGCAGCTCCTGCCGTGCCGTCGTCATGCACAGAACTAAGCTTTTGAAAACATTTTCTTACGACAGTTGTTGTGTACAACTTGAAGAATGAACTGATGAACTAGATAAACTAAAAACAAATGGCCAACCTAGGTTTAAAAATGAGTTTAAAGAAGTGAAACTCGATTTAAACTAAAAGAGGGGCAAGGTTTTCAACTCAATTTGATCAAGTGAAAGAATACAAATCACAGCCCAAATGATCCAAAGAAATACCATTCAATCACCAACACTACCAGCTAGTCTGTATACTCAGAAAGTGAAGCAAAAAACTCTCCGGGGTAGGAGGAACAAACATACAACAACACCCTTTTCCTACTCGACGATAACTTGGGAATATTCCAAAGCTAAAACAGATTTGACAAAGTTGGGTGGATGGCAGAGCTTCTTCCCCTCAACTCAAATCAACTAATCTCTCAACTCACGACAGACCACACTCTTCTATCTTCCATAAGGATGGTACCTACCAGCGCCAGCTCCGCCGCTGCCATACCCACCACTGCTGCTCCCATACCCACCTCTACTTCCATAGAACGAACCTCCACCACTGGCACTGCCACCGCCCCCATAGCCTCCACCAAGGCCAGCATCATAACCACCAGCTCCATAGCCACCAGCAGGGCCAGGTGCACCGCCCATGTACCCACCACCACCCCCACTGCCATAGCTGTCGGCAGGAGCACCATAACCTCCTCCGCCCATATCGTAACCTCCTCTGCTGTATCCTCCTCCTCCGCCGCCGCCATAACGTCCTGAATATCCAACAGACGGTTCTCCTCTGTAAGGACCTCCTATGCCGCCACCACCACCAGGGCCACCGCCATACCCTCCTCCATATCCTCCGCCACCATATTCACCAGCGCCATATCCACCATAAGCACTCATCCTGCCGCCTCCATATGCACCGCCACCTGATCTGTATAAATTGGCACTGCCGCCACCACCTCCATACGCGTGGCCTCCGAGTCCACCATAGGTATCACCATATCCACCACGAGGCGTTGACCTTGAATCGCCATAACGTTTAAACGAAGGAGTTGGTGGGTTAGGCTTCTTTGGTTCTGCCTTCTTGATCTCAACCTAGAGAGAGGAAGGGAACAAGAGAGAAGGGTGGTTATTTGATGGTGAAGAAATGCATAAATCACATATCATCTAACTCTTAACTTCCATATTATAAGACCCAGCTTCATATTACCACCATGGCAGACAGACAAAGGAAGTAGATAAGCAAAGACCACCTTTACTGTTCACATTTCATGAAGCTAATCTTCTCAATCACATAACCTATGAGACTTCTAACAAGCTTGATGAGAGCAATTCATAATATAACTACAATCATCCGTAATATGTCAAATCTGATGGATACTAAGAGACAGAAAGCTTGAACTTTAATGTGACTGCTTCACCATGCAGTTCGCTATTAAGTATTAAGAGACAACATACTGCAGCAAATTTTTTTCCTTTTTTTTCTGCATCCAGTTCATAGATTAGAAGAAAATTCATTCACTCAGTTGCAAGACAATGGCCTAACATCTTGTTGTCGAGTATAACAAATGAAAACAAACATAATAATGTTTGCACCAAGAGAAATAAATTGAACTGTCTATCTTTCAACCTTCAGCAGAAGCTAACAAAAACTTCAACAATATATGAAACTAAGAACCAATCGCTATTCACACAACTATAGACAACCAAAGGAGTTATCTTGGCCCCAGAAGATGAGAAACTAATCAACTATATCCCTCATCTAGATGATTGTAACTTACAAGCTATACTTCAAAGAACTGCAGGAAAAGAAACGCTGAACACTAATGGAATACCACTCACCTGAGTTCCAGCAAATTCGAGCCGATTTCCCTTTGTAAGAAGTTCATCAACTGCATCTTCTTCCTCAAAGGTAACAAACCCAAAGCCACGAGAACGATTGGTAGAATGATCCCTCAAGATCTGGTGTTCTGCAATGCTCCCGAATTGCGAAAAGAATTCCTTCAAGTCATCTGCCAATTGCAGTAGAAGGGTTTTTAAGCAACTCAAAATCAATCAACGCATGAAACTGGGTAAAAGTTTTATCTTTATATATGATATTGATGCAAAAGCTTGAATCTATGGTAGCTTGAACGTTTGCCCTCTGTTAGTATCATTAGACAGACACCTTTGAAGTTAAACAGCTAACAGAATATATTACCTTCAGTCACTGCTGAAGGAATTCCACCGACGAAAATTTTCTTCGTCTTGAAATCCTTAGGCCCAGCAGCACCCCTTGGTATTGTTCGCTTGATTTCCACCTAAAATGACCAACAAGGCCACAGGAGGAAACTCACTCAGCAAGTGGAACCAACATATGATGTAGCAGTACTCAAATTATGGAGCAAGAGACTAAAAAATAAGTTTAATCTAAGGATTACAACCAAGAACTCAGCCCTACTTGTTTCCCATTAATAATATGTGTGTCCTGAATGACTTGATCAACAACAGAAGGGTCTGCATAGGTGACGAACCCAAATCCACGAGGTTGACCGGTTTTTCGGTCCTTCATTATGACAGAATCCGTAATTTCACCATATTTACCAAAATGCTTGATAAATTGAGCTACAGTGGGAAAAATCAAGAGAGAGAGAGCAGGGGTTTAGGCATAAACTAATACGCCACTAAAGAAGGTGGACTTAATACTAATTCACACTTATAGAAGCAGATGAACTAACTAACCAGGCGTAGTCTCTCTTGCTAAACCACCAATGAAAATCTTTCTGCAACCAATACACAATAATCATTCCTCAGAGTCATAAACTAACCAACCCTAAAATCTCAAAGGGAACGAACTTCCATGCATAACTAGAATAAGCGAAAGCTGAATCAATACTAAACATTCCAACCACATTCGCGTCGGAAGCAAATCTAATCCAATCCAGTCCCTTGATGATTATCGGCGGAAGCCAGGAAATCGATACCTAACAACACAAGGAGATGATTCCAGAGAGAAGAGAAAGAGAGCGGTACCCGGGACTAGCTCCATCTCCAGTGTGAGAAAAGGACCTGTCGTCATCATTGTGGTGGTCGATCGATTGAAGAGCGTCGTCGGCTTCTCCGCCGGGGAGACCCTCACCGTTGTTATTATTGCTTTCATGCTGGTCCATGTTTACTCGCCGAATCCGAGCTCAGAGGAGTAGAAGGATGCGCCGAAGGAGCGAGCTGAAAGGAAGAGTGGAAGCGCCGAGCGAGAGCGAAGACTGAAAAGTGAAAACCCTAGGTGAAAGGGAAAATAAGCAGAAGGCAGGCAGAAGCGCAAGACTCCGCAGTTCCTAATCAGCCTCCGGCTCCCGGTCTTAGTAAGTTACGAAAAAAACAGAACCAAATAAATAAATGATTAAATAATCTCTCGGTTGTGAATATTTGCAGTCCAATTCTCACCTGAAAATGGAATTCCGAATGCGGCAAAAGATAATTGGCGGTTTGCAATTCACATTAATTTGAGAAATTTTAGAATGTGTTGGTGCTATAAATTTTTATTTTTTATGGTACAATTTCGATTGTATCTATATTCTTTTGTATAAATTCTTTAATGATATAATTTGAATTTGTAGTTTTATCTAATAGTATAATATTAAGTTGTGAAGTTGTACCATAATATAAAGATATAAATTCTCTTTTGGTACAATCTGAACTTATACATTTAACGTTCTGGTTCAATTTCAAATTGTACATTAAAGTATCAATATTTTATAACATAGTAGAAGTGCTCCATTAATTTACTTAATTTCCGAAGAACACAATCCAATTAATAATTATATACTACATCTCTTTAATTGTAAATGAATCAAAATGAAATTGGAGTTAAACACCATATAACCGGCAATTTTCTAGCGATAGATTATACACAAAATTCGTGAGTATTCTCATATAAATTAAAGAACTTTATGAGTACTAAATTATAACTCATTAGCTAAGATTCACAAACCTATTATCAATCAACTTTCTCATTTAAGTATGATTGTACGAGAGTCTCACAAAATCTACATACCATAATCCATCAGCTAAATTCAACCTAATATGAATTGATAGCATTGTGTTGTTTCCCGAATCTACTTCTACAAGTGCATCTAACTAATAAATCCATCAAGATCAATTGTTCGAGGAGAGGTTTCATACATCTCACTCTGATATTTACACCTGGAATATTTTTTTCCGCCTCCAAAAAATGGAACCAAGAAGCAGAGTTCTTCTAAACGAGGCCAACCGGACCTAGTAAGTGTTCTGAGGGTTAAACCTCCTCCTACCGTCTCTCCGATAAAACGGGGTCTCGTCGATCGTCTGCCTCACGTAGTCTATGTAAGGCTGAGGCGTTCTTGGCGACTGTTCTGTAAACTTAGAGCCACTCCCACGATCGGGAGTCCCAGGAGGAGGAGCGTTTGCAGTGCCATTAGTTGGAGGTATCGACGATGGTGTTGATGGTGCTCGAGTTCTGCTGGACACTTCCCCCTTGATTATCAGAATGGCTGCTACCGAAGTAACCAAAATGAGGGCCCCAGTTATGACTGATCGCAACGTGAGGCTGGCGGGGGTTTTCTCGACTGCTGGTTTTGGACCAGGTTCGTAGTTCACGACAATTAACATTTCTTGACCTTCAAGGAAAATGCAAGTTAAGAGTATTCATCTTTGTAACTTCAGAAAGAGGTATTCATGTATATCAACGTTTGAATGGCTGAGGGAGGCGCACCATTGGTTGGGAGTGAGATTCGAATGTGGTCCTTCACTCTGTTTGGTCCCGACACTTTCAGCTGGAGATATGAACCACGAGGTCCGATCAGCAAGGATAAGTCTTTCGACTAGTTAAGGACTTAGTTTGTGGCACGCAGAGATCAGAGAAGATTATTAGTTGGTTGAAAGAGAGTTCAGAAGGAAGAGCACCACTCACCTCGTAGGAAGCACGGCCACCAACCCCGAAATCTTCCTCGTCGAGAAGGTTGACCTCAATGGCATCCTTTTCGTGCCAGTCAATTTCAATACCTGCACGGAAGATGACTGATTGATAATGGAAATCATAACTAGGATGTTTTGGGAACATGACTACAAAAGAAACTGAGATGATCCTCAGGGTGAATACTAAGCTTGCTGCTTGAACTCCATGATTTGGCAAAAGAAATCAACCTCTCGCCGGTTCTCCTTAAAGCATTAAGCGAACTATGATATGCTGCACTGTCCATGCGTGAAATCAATCAAATAGATTTCAACTTACCTGTGTTCCCCAAGATGGTTATAGTTGTCGTGTTGGAGTCTGGTGTTAGATTCACCTCCATAGAACCCTGCAACCGAAAGGAGCAGCATTACGACGTCTAAACTGAGTGCATGTAAACATCGCAGGGAGTAAAAGAAATGACATAGAAGGTGAAAACTATTAAGGCTTAATTCATAAAGATTTCTTTCACAATTACTACCCGGACAAGAAACTGGCTCAAACAAAAAGAATCGCAATAACAAATTACCATGTCCATCTCTGGTACAGAAAAACCCCCAGCGAAAAGCGCAGATGCCGATCCAGAAACCTGGTTGCTCTCTTTGAGTGAAACGTAAATGGTAAGAGATATATATGGTCTTATATCCTTTGACCTGGGAGCTGAACGTGTCAAATGTTCTGGGGGGTAAGGGAAGAAGACACAGAACAGATTTCCAGAGTCTGCATCCACCCGTGGCTTTACATATCTTCAGTTCAGAAATTGGGATAATAAGTATTTAGCAAGAGAAGGTACAGTATACAGGCATAACCCCGGAAGTGAAAGATGATGGTGTACAGATTACCCGATATAAGGTGGATCCACTTTGCAGTCAAATTGTACTTCTTTGCTACTTCCACTAGATTCAGACTTTTGCTGTACACCACTGTCATCACCCATATAGAATAAACCATGCATCATTTACCTGACTGGTCATTTCTTAATATCGTATAAAAGCATATGGCATAGTGATAGTGGTATCTCCAATCAGACACCCAATCAGTAGTAGTATAGTACATAAAAAACGAGTAAAAAAATTTTATTCAAAGCTTCAATTTACTGCCTGAGGTTCTGAGATGCAGCCTTATCAAAGATTATTAGTCTGATTAACTGAGAGAAACAAAAGGAGTGGAATCGAGTCCATCACCCAAAGAATATAGGGAAGCCATTTTCTACTCGCAACATTATTAATACTGTGCAAACTTTATGTTAAAACACTCCAAATAACAAAGATGAGACCCTCGCAATACCTGAATTTAACAGGGAAGCTGTATCCTTTCGTTGGGTATGGAACATTCGTCAGCAACTCTTCAGGAGGATTAACAGAAACAACATTTCCTGATAGCACCGTGACCTCTGTTTGTACTTTCATTGGATGGCACTCAAACGTTACTGTAGGAAGAATGCAAGCTCCAATCAGGGAATTCATAGTTTTGCCAATGATATCTTCACACACCTAAATCAATTAGAAAGAGGAAGGATCAGGAAGTACCTTGAGTGGACCCTACACCAACCCCTACAGCTTTTCCAGAACTATCAATATCTACGACACTATTATTTGCACTAAGCCAGCGGCCAGACGACCAGTCATTAACACCTACAACAAAGCAGAATATCTTCATTAGTCGTCTAGAAAGCAGGAAGTGTTTTGCTAATTCCTCACATGAAGTGAGAAAAATGAGAAGAAGCTTATACACGAGTTTACCTTCCACACTGAAGTATAGATAACCTCCTTTATGAATGACAGGGTTCAGAGGATACAAATTACCTACTGAAATCTGAAAGACAGAATTCAAATATCTTAAACCGGAGAAAGTGAAAAGGCGGCAGTTACAAGTAATGAAAATTGCATACACCCTCTTTTAATCAAATAGACATAGCATGGTTTATGCACAATCCCAGAAAGGCAATGCATGTTCTAAATCCACAAGATCTCCTACCAATCAGACCTATGAGCCTAATGCCGAGCAGCATGCAAAAATCTCTACTCCAGACAAACCCCCAGTATTTGAATTATCTCGTTATTTAACTTAAGCAACAAGCATATATATCAAAGCACACTTGTTGTCTCATGTAGAACTGCAAAAGGGAACAGTTGCAGGAGGGAGAAAATGAATGATTAGTTTCTAAACAGAGAACCATGTAGCATAGTAATTTAGACTGGCCTTGAAGCACATTCTAGAAACGGATAGCATCAGCATTTGTTTCTCTACTGTTCATAAAAACCAATGACTCCGTGATCAAGCATTGACCCCACCGAAAATCCCAGTTTTCATTCGTTAAACACATACCAGAACATAGTCCGACTTCTGTTGATTGCTAGCGAGTGATACCCGTAAAAGAGCCCGACCAGGTTGCATAGCCTTCAAGCAAAAAGAAGAAGAAGAAGAAGAAATGATGAATAAACTTTCAAAGAAATAGTGCCAGAAACTTGAGGCCTGTAAAACTAAATGCTTGGAATTGATAGAGAGATTGGCAAGAGAACAAAACATATGCTCATACTCAACATCGTATTTCAAAATGCTAAAAGAGCTATAGAAAGACAGATAACAGCACATGCCCAAAGTCATAGTTGAGTGAAAATAAGTAGGTTCTATCAACAGACCTTGAGATGAATATTCACACTGCTGTATTTAATACCCCCAAGAGAAAGGATATCACGATGGTTTGTTTCGACTTTATAAGGAATAACGTTGTATGCTTCATGGAAAGGGTTTCCTGTAAAGATATAGATGCAGCAGAGTTGGGTAAGATCAGGAATGTGAAGTACATACACTTACTAATTATACAGCATATACGCCTTTTTCTTACCTAAGGCATCAAAGTATGTTACGGGAAGATCAAGTTCAGCACCAACTGGAAGATAAATTGCACGGTATTGAAACTCCTCATTTGTGATTCTGATTTGAGCTACCTGAAAAATAAGCAGATCTGACAGAATAAGCTTGCAACCACACATCAAAGCCTGAAGAGGCAATGCACCAGTTTAAAACTACGAACATAGGTACACAGGACATAAAACTTTATGATTGCAGCAACAGAAGTAACCAAACGAAATGAAAATTTATCCGGAAAAATCAATTGTGATCACCAAATACAACATAAAACAGAAGTCCCTATTTATGACTTGGAGTGATCTTCTTGATATACTATGTAAAGTTAGAGTTATAAGAATAATCAGAAAAAGAAAAATCTAAGTAATGAGTTTCGGCATAGAGAGGAAGCACGATTTTTTGCACTTTATAAACCCTAAATCACTTGTAGAAACCATGCAACTTCATGCGACATATTAGGATCCAGAGACTAGTGTGTAATAAATATGTTTCAAAATCATGTTTCACAAATCTTGAATGTGT